GATGCAAGAGGAGACAAGCAAAAACATTTAAGTGTTCCAGACAAAATAAAAATGGGAGAGATGGTTTCATGTTAACAGTGATGATACTCCTAGTGCTTTCCGAGAATAACAGAAACAAGAGTCCTATGTGGATTTAGGTTAGATGTACGGTACAAAAGCCATAAATATCTCTTTTAATGGTAACAGAAACAGCACATGTGCTTTTCATCAGCCTGCTTTCCAACACTTGAAAGAGAAACGTTGCATGCCAAGAGCTGTACCAGCCTCTATACAGCTTGAATTTGACAAATGATGCCATGAAAGAATAGATATAGGACTTTTCCTTTGGGATTTCCTAACTGTACCTGTTTGCATGCACATGCCTTCTGGACGCGGAGCAGACAGTAACCCACCCTGCTTTGTCTGGAAACAAAATTCATTACAGTGAGAAGTATTTTCTTAGGTCGGACAAGGAAATTCCGCCCTCAATTAAATATGTGGGAAAGGGAACGCAATCAGATATGATTTGATTTGTTCTGGGTGAGGAAAACAGTGATGAAAAAAAGAGCCTGCAATGAAGGAAAACATGTATCTGTTTTTAAATCTGCCAGACTTTATTTACCTTATTTGTAGAAACAAGCTCTGTTGGTTGTGAAAATACCGAAATCTAAATAAATTTGCTTCAAGACCCCCGTTTGACTCAACCAACTGATTTTGATTGAATGTAGCAATATAATTTTTGTATTCTGAGACCAAAGGTAATATGAAGTCATAGTATTTTTTGCATGAAGGACATGGATAGTAAAAATAAAACAACCAATTAAAGCTTATGAAATAAAGATAACTCTTATACCTTTGCTTTTTATGTAATGTGCAGGCTATAGCACCTATAAACATATCAATAAAAAGTTCTATAAGGCCAAATATTAGCTAAAGTGAATATTCACTTTCAGCACACCAACAAAAATTTATTTTAAGGAGAGAGGCTTTTGGGTTATACTAGGGCTGTGTCCTAATGTCCGCACTAATTACTATAAAAGGCACTATATGGTGGCAACGCCATTTTAGATGACTGTCTGAATGTCTAGTGGATGAAAAAGTAGTGGACTTAAAATCTCCATCAATACACCTTAAAAAGTAGTGATCATCCACGGTCACTAGATTAGAGCTATATCCCAGAATGCTTTGCGAGGAGAGCTCTCCTCCTGCCCTGTCGCCATACCCAATGGAGGCGACAAAAAAGAAAGATGGCGCAGGCCCCCTGCAGGGAGGGGGGGGTCGCGTGACCAACGGGGAGCGAAAAGTAGTGACCATCTGTCTGAAGGTTAAGTTAACTGAGTTTACTATAAAGACCAGTATCTAGTCCCTGGTCTATATCGTGATTGAGGGATTTAGGGGTTAGGGTGGACGTTCTGACACAGCCTAAGTGTTCAGATGGGAAAGCAAAAAGGACTAGCAAATGCCAATGTATGCAAAACACGAAAGATGATAAACTAAGCTCTCCAATGCAGTGTTTTTGTTTTTTTCAGAAAATGTCTGACACTGAAAATAGAGCCTTGAAAACATATTTAGTAACTTGAAATCAACATAAAAGCCCCACTTGACAGAAACACTAGCAAGACAGTCTACTGTACTTATGGTAGTAGATTTACATGCAATCTCAAGTTCCATAACTTCATTTTTGCTAATAAAATAAAATAAAATAAAATAGTTTTTGGGTAAAAATTAGACAGTAGCAAGTTGAGTTCATCCAATTTTGACTATTTTGGCTTAAAATCAGCATTTTAAACTAACATCAATCAGCTTTGTATTCTATTTAGAATGCTAAGCTAATGAAGGGATGCTAATCCGTAATTTTTACTATTTCACCATAATATGCTATCTTGTAGCTTTGTTAGCTTAATACAACACATTGTCTTTCATGATATGTTTGCCATTAGCCATGAAACACTTTTACACAATGTGTTTCTGAGCTACGAAGATAGTTTTAGGCAAAAGTAAAAACCAATAAAGCTCTTTATCACTATTCTGGTTCATATAAATGTGGCACAAAGAAAAAATATTTAAAGGGTAATTCTACATATGTTTCAATTGTCCAAAACTGATTCTAACAATTAGCTAATTGGGCTAATATTTAGCATGCTTAGTTATTTCCTTCAATTGAAGTTATTCTAGGTTTAGTATTCTGAATAATTTCAAAAGTGTGTAGTAAATTGTTTTCAAAGGTGTTGCTTCTGATTTAGGAAATTATTGCATTAACACAAAGTAGTGCCAGAGCCCAAACATTTTTTTGGGGGAAGAAATGCCAGTTTGATACAGAGAAAATGACCGTAAGACACTGACAATAAGTTTGGTTTAATTTTGTTTTCAAACAGCCCAAAGTCATTCCATACAGAGTTAAGCATATTTTAGCAAATATGTCACAATTGTTACCTGTATAATCACTGGTATGATACAGGTTTTCACAGGTCAAAGCCTTTTTACAAACTTTTTTTTTTTTAAGAGCGATCAGATGGCAAATACTCAAATACTATCAAATCTGTTAGCTCTAATATAAACCTTATAAATTTTCCACTGTGCAGTGATACTGTATTCCATTGCTTATAGCTATTAATGCTTTGTTAAGAGTAAAATACAATTCTCTAGTTATTCAGAGAGGATATTACTAATCACTTGAAATTATATCATTACATTAAAGCTACAGTGTGTAATTTTCAGCGACATCTAGCGGTCAGACTGCAGACCGCAGCAACATGAACATCTCCCCCCCACCGCTTCTCCCCCCCAACAGTACGGCGAGCGTTACGGGACAAAATGTCTTCCACGACGTCGGAATCACCTACCTTCTCAAGTGATGAGGTTTGTTTACATAGATAATTTTACAGATAGTATTTCATTAGTCTGTGTAGGGTATAGATTTCATGTAGACTTTAGATAATAAATATACCCGTTATTTTTTCTACGTCGTTGTGACGTTTTGGTGAGCTGCTTTGCATGGTGATATAAACAGACGAAGGAATTGTAGTCATTAGTTTAACAGCGAGATTGTGTTCGCTAGAAGAATATATATTCCCCGTTTACAGAGTCCAAGTCTTGTTTGTGGCACGGGGGTTACAAGGCGAGGAAGAGGGAGAGGAAGAGGGCGAGGGCGTGCAGCTAGGGCCAGGCGAGAGAGGGGTGCCAGCGGGGTGACTAGAGCAGAGGAGGAAAGGCTTGAAGATCTCCAAAGGAGCCGGAGAGAAGTAACCGAGGTATATATCCAGAAAATTATTTTACAGAAAATTACTGAATCATTACCTGTGAAACGTCAGGGACGTTGCTGAATAAGTATACTGGAGAGTAACAGCATCATCAGGCAGCATGTTATTGTTTTAGACAGGTCTGAGCATCCTGTACTCCAAAAACTGCAGTGATATTAGACAATTGTGTGTGTAGGATTAATTACCTGTCCAAGAGAAAACTGGCAACTTGAGCGTCACTTTGAAAACCTTTTTCCTCCGTCAGTGACTTCCATCGTGTAAATGCCGTGCCAATGTTGATCCGTGTTTTTTGCCGTTTCTTCTCACGCTTGCGTTTATTCTCGTCGTGTTTCCGCTTCTTAGATGACGGGGGTTCGGTGTCCGCCGCTTTTCGTTGTGATACAGAGTAGGCATGATCCTCCATTCGTCTGATGTTTGGCCACACAGTGCCAAACAGTTTGCAAAGTCACTCACGCCTGCCGCCTTGTTCACCTTTCTTGTTACTGAGGCGCAGTATACCTGCTTCTTCTTCTTCTTTGGTTTCAGGCAGACTAAACGCTTCTCAGGCATAATACTGCCATCTACTGTTCAGTACCGTCTCAGTTAATCTCTCTCAACTTGCCGTAGTTATTTTCGAGCGTAATGGGAGATCTCGCAATCGCTAGTTTGTTGCCTCTGCGCTTGCCGTAGCGCAAAGATGTCTGCCCCCATGGCTGCGAGACCCGCTCCTATGTAATTATAAATAACGAATTCTAAGGCAACGCAAATATTATGGTTAAAAGGCTGAGCTCATAGGTGATGATAAATAACATAGTTATGTATAATATGTTAAATTTCTGACTTTATATCCCTGTAATTATTACACACTGTAGCTTTAATACTAATTAGTCCAAGTCTTGAACGTTTTTGCAAATGTGAGACTATTTTCAAAACCAACACCTGGTTTTTACTTCCCTATTTTACCAAACAGAATCCTACTTACATTATGCACTTCAGCGCATCTCTTATCGTCTCAGCAGAATGTCTACATCTACTTTTTTATTCTAGCCCACACATGCTGCAAGTGGAGCTCTCCAAACAGGAAGAGCAGCCAGGCAAACGCTGATAGCGAGCTTATTTTACAAGCATGTGCATTATTGAATGTAAAAAGAAGGGGATACATATTACAAAATGTTTGATGTAGAACAAAAAGCAATACTTTGTAGTTGGAGGAAGGCAAATTTTAATGTGCAAGGCTGTCCTTTATTTAAAATAGGAACTTTTGTGCCTAAAAACAGGGTATAAAACCCAAAGGACGTCATTTATGGCTGACACTTTGGATTTAGAATTACTTGATACACAAACTAATGCACCTTATTCAAGAATTTGGAATTCTGACATGGAAAACCTTTTAGCTGGTCCAACTTCAAATTCAATATGGCTTCTGTATGGACAAAGATTTACATGATTTGCTGGAATAATTTTTTTATTGCCACTTCTAACTGTATTTCGTAAAACAGTACTCTCCCCATTTTTGAACATGAATTGTTATATTTTTAACCATGTAAAATACAAAGAAATACATTGAGATTAGCTTTCATTGCTAGATTTAGCATCCCCAGTTTCGACTACCAATGCTACTTTAATTAAGTCTGCACATCTTTAACTGTGGTCTCCATCCAGCTTCTGCTTTATGGACCGTATAGAAAACAAGAATACAGATTTGAATCGAGGAAAAACTACTAAAATAGCCAATCTAGCATATAAAATTCTTTTCTTGGAATAGCAAACAGAATACCAAAATACTAGTGGGATCCGTCTCTATATTATTCACAAAAACAGCATTATCTGCAAGAATGTGTTTCAATACACTGTACAAATACATACTACAGGCTTCAATATACGGCATGCATGTTTACATATATACTCACCTCCCGCTCCGGTCATTTATCCAGCATTTTAGATCCAAATGGAAACAAAATATAGTAGATCAAATGGATAAAATGCAAACAGTGAGCCTAACCCAATGCGATAAAGCTTGTGCTTGTACCTAAACAGAATTTAGCTGAACTACAGCTTCAGTTCATCTTTGTACATGCAATGAAAAACACAACTATTAATACAGAAAACAGAAAGATTAACATGAGGAAACATATTTTAACACAATTTAATCTCTTCATTGTTTGAAAAATGTTCCTATTTTAGGACAGTTCACTTATATTAGTTACACATAATCACTGTTTTTGCCCTGATGTTGCTGATTCATGCACCCTTATTTGCAAATTTGCAATCTCTAATACAATTTGATCAAGTCTGATAAAATATGTAAAATAGATATTCCAAACACTTTACTTTATTTCCCTTCCCTTTATAATCATTTCACTACTTTGATCTTAAAACAACCTGATAGTGTTCATTTCATCACAACTTCCTGTACACCATGTGCTTGTGAAGTCATACGAATTTGTGGATTGCTGCTGTGCATCACTTTGATGAAGTAAGCCAGAGCATGGTTGACTTTGACGATGCTGTTTCTCGTGGTTTTCACATGATGAAGAAATGAGTAGATTCCTTCTGGTGATGTCATTTTCTGTGTTCCTCATGTCTGACAGTTCAGTCTTCCAGACAGTTCTGAAAATGTCAACCTTAACCGGTCCAGAAGTCAAAGAAACCTCCTTCCTTCGGAGAGTTTCTTTAAACATATGGGCTTTCCGATCTGAATATGTCCGAGCAACTTTTGCCATTTATGTGGTCTGTGTGGCTTTCGATGCTGTAGCAGCGGTGGACTTCAGTGAGTGACGACGCCACATAATAGGCTGAGCGGTTGGCAAAAGTGCCTGCAGATTGCATCCGCAGTAGATTCCACTGTCTCCGGAGAACAGTCTGAACCTAGAACACGGAAAAACATATCATGTTAAATGTTTCTCTTTTTTTTTGTGACTCAACCTCCAGTTTCAAAATTATGTTAGTATAATTTTCTCACAAATGTATACTAATTTATGACCATTTTTTTGATAAAAATATACTGCTCAAACATCTGGAGTAGCTCCACTAGTTTGAATCGGATGAGTTTTATGTTGTTTTATATTGTATATTTATCATTTTTTCTTTGTTTAATCACCTATAAATCAGAAATGGTGAGATTTAAAATAGTGGTTCTGCCTGAAAAATATTCCTCAATTCCTTTTTGTCATACAAATACAAACAATTGTATTTCCAAGTATTGTTGGCAGCTGTATTTTGTTGTACTGCTTTAATTCAAATATGTAATTTCAGGCGATATTTGCGCCTAAGAACCTCAGGGCTTAAGAAGCTAAGTGCTTTGCATGGGACCCAGGTTCAAATGCTGTTTACAAAAGGAAGGGCAACCAATGTAAAACCTGCCAAGTCTGATTATCAATTCTCAATGCATTTCTCTGGCAGTTCCTAAATAAGGAAACACACAAGGAAAGTTGAGATAAAAGAAAGATGGCACAGAACAATATGAGAGATATATGCTCTCATAATATCAAAGATCTATGTTCAGGGATTAAGACTATCACAGGCTTCAAATAGAAAGAAAATTAGGCAAACGCAAATCTAGACAGCCAATGAACTGACAACATGAACAACCCCAGCATCCTACTCTGTTTACTGCCAAAAGTCAAACAGACAACATTCCCTCGTTTGATCCAAAGCTTCCCTATCATGCTTCAAATGTTTAATCTGGCACCTTTGACATGGATCCTTCTGATTCTGTTTGTTTCCAATCAAATCAAAATGTAGTTCTGCTCAGCTATATCTGTCTCTAGAAAACATGTGAAGAGGCAAATAGAGATGTTGACTTGGAATAAGGCTCCAGTTCCAGATGCTGTCAGCCCCAGAGTCCTCAGGGCCTATGCAGAGCAGCTCTTTGGGATTCTACAGCTCATTTTCAACCTTAGCCAGACCCAGGAGTTGGTTCAACAGTTGTCACAGACATTGTTCCTTGTTCTAATAAAACTCACCCAACATTTCCAAATGACTAGACCTGTTGCTCTGACATGCCACATCATGAAGAGCTATTCCCATTGACCCACCAGAACAAATTAACGAGTAAATATAACGACCTCCTGCAGTTTAGTTATCGATGTAGAGTTAAGGGCTGGATCAAAGTCTCCCTGACAAAAAAGGCCACATTTTGTGAGACTAAAGGTTCAAGTGTCTAACCAGGTAGTCAGCACTACAGGAGTACCACAGGGGACAGTATACCTCTGATTCTTTTTTATACTGTACACCTCTGACTTCCAGTACAAGACATAGTCCTGTCATGAGCAACACAGTAAACAACAAAAATAAACAAGTTGATAAAGAAGGCTGACTATGGTCTGGGACAGAAATAGCATAAAAGTATAAAAACAGACAATACAACACATAATCATCTCTAAAAAAAACTATATATATGTTAGTGATGGAACGGTTTATGAAAACCGTCCGAACCGTTGAGTTCGACTGTCTCGGTTCGATTCGCATGTGTTTCGTTCGGTTCATGCGCTGCTCCATTTTCTCATAGGCGAAGCGTTTACACTCCAGAGCAGAAGGTGGCGGTACTGCGACCAAAGCCAACCACCAGTAGAAAACAAGAAGAAGAAGAAGCGAAGCAGCGTAGCCGGGTGTAGCAGAAAAAAATCAGTTGTTGTGGAGAATTGTGTGGGTATGGCAAGTGGGAAAGAACAGGAGTTGGAAGACGCGTCAGCAGCACTTTATAGGTCTGCTGTATGGGACCACTTTGCATTTAGAGTGACCTACGATGACGGAGGAAAGAAAGTTGTGGATAAAAGTGCAACAGTGTGCACAACAGTGTTTATGCTAACAGCAACACGACCAACATGTCAGGCTACAGTAACAATCAACATATACAGAACCGAACCGAAAACCGTGACCACGAAACCTTGAACCAAACCGAACCGTGGATTTTGTGAACCATTCCACCCCTAATATATGTAGTGTTTGTCTTGATGGTAAATGGCCTGTACTTATACAGCACTTTTTTAAAGTCAGGATACTTGACCAATGCGCTTTACATTCAGTCATTCACCGATTCACACACACACTGATGGTGGTGAACTATATTGTAGCCACAGCTGCCCTGGCGATCACTGGGGATCACCGGCTGGTCCCACTGGTCCCTCTGACCACCACCCTGGGCAATGCAGATGAAGTGTCTTGCAGATACATCGACAGCGAAAGCCAAAGCCAGGGCTTGAACCAACAACCCTCCGGTTGCATGGCAAACTCCTGCATACAACGCCAACTCTTCCCTCTGATAGTGTTTACTCTGTCCATTTTAAACCTGAAAAGAATTTCTGTACCTGGAACAACCAGCAGACATAATTTTACTACCTGCTAATAGTGTATATTTGTCCTAACTGTGTCCTATCCCTCATTGTAGCAAATATTTTTGCGCTTTTTCTTATGTTCATGTTTTTTTTTTCTTTTTGTACCTCCATAGGTAGTTGGATGGCTCCATAACCTCCCTGTCATCTCATTGTCCATATAGACTTGGTAGGTTTTTATGTCTGATTCCTTCCTTTTGCAGTTGTTGATTCAATATTTCAAACCCTTACAACTACATTGCTAGTATAGCTTAACTACTGGCCTAATGTTAAAGGAATAGTACACCCAAAACATGATTAGCCTTCATTTTCTACTCACCCCCATGCTGAACAACACTCTGGAGTACTTTTTTGATATCTCAAATGCATCTGGAGATCTGGGAGGCTTCTTGCTGTCTGCTGACATTCAAATAATGGAGGTCTATGGTGCCCGAGGCAGAAAGGTCCATAAAAGTCCACAAAAAACGTGTCAATATTCTTCCATACTGCTCGTCCAATGTATTCCAAGTGTCCTGAGTGGGTAGCGTCCATAATTTACTCGAAACGAAGTCGTTTAGAATGTTTTTAGAGCATAAACAGTAGTGTATAGGATTTCCTAAAAGAGCGTTCACGAGTCTACGGAAACCGCGGCAGACCAAACCAGATGAAAGTGCGCATTCAGCATCTGCTCTGCCGATAATGCAAGCATAGAAGAAGAAATGTGCTGTTTACCTGTGCAAAGAAAGAAACAACGAAAGAAAAATGTCTGAGGACTTCAGTGTTGAGGAAGAGCATGAGTTCTTTGCCGAGCTGAATGCATTCTAAATGACTTCGTTTCGAGTAAATTATGGACGCTACCCACTCAGGACACTTGGAATACATTGGACGAGCAGTATGGAGGAATATTGACACGTTTTTTGTGGACTTTTATGGACTTTTCTGCCTCGGGCGCCATAGACCTCCATTATTTGAATGTCAGCAGACAGCAAGAAGCCTCCCAGATCTCCAGATGCATTGGAGATATCAAAAAAGTACTCCAGAGTGTTGTTCAGCATGGGGGTGAGTAGAAAATGAAGGCTAATCATGTTTTGGGTGTACTATTCCTTTAAGCTTATTGGCCTGGAATAATTTGAGTCAGGGTATTTAATTGGGCAGAATTTGAGTAAATGACCTTAAAATTAGTTTCTTAACCGTATACTGAGGTAAGGTTGTAACTCACCTCCCCATTGAAGAAGCAGAATATAGTAGAAACCAGGAGTCCCTGAATTTCAATTTGAAAACATTTGAGAAAATAAATAAAAATCTATTGACCTTCCGTTTATTTTACAAAGAGATCCCTGTTTGTACTGACCTGGTAATGCATGGCGATGTTCATGATGTATAGATAGATCTCAATAATCCAGGGATCCAGAGGTTTGTACCCAAGGAGGACGTACTGGATGCCCAGTAGGGGGATGAGGATGAGAGTGGCCCTCACAGCCCTCATGTAGAGGCTTGATTCAGCCTGATGGGTCACTCGCAGTTTGGTGATGATAACCCGAATTATGTTCAGAAGGAAAAAGAAATTCACCTGAAGTTAAGAAGATGGAGAAATTACTTTAAGAGTGAAGGAGGAGTATATAATATAGATCGTTAGGGCTAATTTTAAGTACACACATTGTAATAGTTGTCTTGGATCAGCTTAATGTCTTATATAGGTAAAAAGAAAAAATGGCAGACAAAAAATTTAAGATGAAATTTAAAAAAGAAATCAAGTTATGAAACCTTGAAAAAATCATAATCAAAAAAGATATATTTTTAAATGTGTTTAGTTTTTGTATAATTATTTTTTACAAAAAAACTTTCAGACTCCATTAATTAATTTTTTTTTTTTTTTTACTGATAATATATTATCAAATGGTGTTTTTCAGTTTTCTTTTTACTTTTTTTTTTCTTTCAGATCATTTCTTTTATATTTACCTTTTTCAGGTTAGGTTTTATGAACTGCATTCTTTTTACATAGTTTTTTTTCTGAAAAGAAGATAAAACATCGTATCTGAGTGAAATCATGTGGCCACTTTAAACCCAATAAAAACATGGTTGCTAATGTCCAGCAGACCAATAGAAATGCTCTATCGTCTTTGCTCCTCTCTCAGGAGGAAACCTGCCCCCACAAGTGGAGAGAACCTGGAATGATTTGTGAAGAATCTAATTTGTAGAACTCAGGCCCCGTCCACACAAAGTCAAACCCTGGTCTAAACGCACAAATTTTTCACCAAACCAGCCTCTCATCCATACGAAGCCGGCGTTTTGGGGGTCTGTTAACGATCTTTTTTTTATTAAGCCTTCAGAGTGGGAAGATTTTGAAACGCCGTTTTCACGTTTCCATCTTTAAGCTCTAACCGCATTTTTTTACTTACACGCATGCGTCATAGCGTCGCCTCTAAACACGCATGCGCGACACAGTATCACAACAACAATGGCGCCGTACTGTGTTGAATGGTTGCCGCTCATGTTACTCACTCTGCTGTCGGGCTTACAACAGAATCTTCTTCTTCTGGAATATCTCCAGGAAGAACAGAGCAATATCGACGACATAGTTCAGCACCTGAATTTGACTGAAGCACAAAAATGGTCCCGCAGGGCAACCATGTATAAATATTACTGCTCATGCCCAACATTTCGTTGCCTGTTTTCGCCTATTTTTGCTTTGCCACCACAGCGCCACTTACAGGCCTGGCATACATTTTGCAGCGTTTTCATGCATTGGTGTGGTCGATCACATTTATTTTACGTCTCCGTCTTTACGACAAACGTTTTGGAAAATATTAGCGTTTCGTGTTCGTTTTGACTTCGTGTGTCTATTAAAAAAGAAATTTGGAAAAGAGAAAAAGAATAAAAATATGAAATCTGTAGTAAAAAAATGAAAAAATTTATATTAAAAAAATGTAATATGAGAAAAGAGCTTCCAACGAGTTTCCAACGAAAAAAAAAATGATGAAGTTTTCTAAGTTTAATAACTGGATTTAATGTCTTTATTTTTTGTTTTTTTATTTATTTATTTATTTATTTTTTAATTGCAACAACAAGGGAACACATCTCCAAAAGGTTATTACATAAAAAGGGATTTTCTTATTAATCATTTACATTTTCACTTTGTTATTATTTTTCTGAAAGTTGTTTCTAGTGTATGTACATGTTCCACATGGGTATTCTGAGCCATGTTTCTCAACAAAATCATTACGGCTTTTAAATGATAAAGATTTGTAATTCTTTACAAATATTTATAAGGTGCTAAAAGCAGAAAGAAAGAGAAACCTAAAAAGAAAAGTTCAATCCATCGTTTAACTTCGCCGATATAAAAAAAAAAGAAATTTGTGAATAACATAGAAACCCTTACCACTAAAGCAGTGCAGAAGGGGGCATGAATAATATACAGCAAGGACGTATCCGAGCTGCCCCAGCATCTGGAAAGACACGGCAAAGGCTGTCAGTTAAATAAATACCTGATATACTTATAATTTTTTTTTTTTTTCTGGATCAGAAAAACTCACCTGTCATTGTAGTAGCAAAAGCGGGCAATTGAATATATAACAGCTGGCACAAGTGGAAAACCTGCAAAACATTTAAAATTATATCTTTGGTTTGCATCAGAGCATGCTATTTATTTAGATCGGAGAGTTTGCATTTTACTAACCCCATCCTAGAAGATAATACCACAAAAGATGCTGTTTTTCTGCAAACACAGCCACAACAATCAGAGTGTGTAGGTAGATGCCCTCACAGAGCATCCAGAAGTAGTTACAGCCCATTATATATAAATGGATGAAAGCCAGAAGCTTACAGACTCCCTGTATGGAGAGAGGAACAGAAACCTCAGCATCATTTGGTGCATGAACATAGGCTGACAAAGAAATCCAAAAAATTGAACTTGTGTTCACATGTCGGACACATTTTCCACATATTATTATGCAGTTTGATCTTGTATTCCATGTTTGTTCAAATTTTGACCATGAGATTGTATATTGCTCACATTTGCACCACATAATCAATAGATTTGACTTTGTGTAATACCTCTTTGATTTATTTGTCAAAAAACCAAAGTATTTGTATGTATGTTTTAATGTGTATTCTTATAGTTTTTTTTATGTAAACATCCCTATGATGTACTTTGAATGCACATTATAAAAAAAAAATTAAATCAAAAATGGTAAAAAAAAAAAAAAAAAGAGGTTCAAAAGTAAACACTGACACCAATCTGTAAAGTTATTCAGATGTATTTATCATGTTTAACAAAAATTACACAGAAAATGTTGCTAATGTTTAAATACTATTTGGATGCTTTAAGTTTTTGATTCCTAATAGTGTCAAATACAAATAAACATATGGATCTTTACAGAGATGGGAAGTAACGAAGTACAAATACTTCGTTACTGTACTCAAGTAGATTTTTCTGATATTTTTACTTTACTTTACTACTTATTTTTATGGCGACTTTTTACTTCTACTCCTTACATTTTTACACAAATATCTGTACTTTCTACTCCTTACATTTTTAAAAATTGGCTCGTTACTTTAGTTTTGAATCATTTCAATGGAGTTACCGTTATTATTTTTCAGGTCATCAATACCAAATTCAATCTATCTAATTGGATGGTAATCTACGTTGCATTTGACACACCACTACAAGATGAATCGACAGATTCGGCGGTATTCATTCGCTGCAAATCATTGCAGCTTGGTGGCGGTGGCGTTAGCATAGTAGTATGGACGACGAGATGATTGAAAATGAACACAACGGAGATCTAGTCCTATTGGCAGACATCCATTTAAAATGTAGGCAACGACATGAAAAAAGTGGTTTCTACTTTTACTTTTATACTTTAAGTAAATTTACAAGCCTGTACTTTGTTACTTTTACTTGAGTAAAGAAGTTTAATCAGTAGTTCCACTTTTACCAGAGTATTTTTTAACTCAAGTATCTGTACTTTTACTCAAGTACGGAAAGTGAGTACTTTTGCCATTTCTGGATCTTTATAATGTGGAGAGGGAGGTCTGAGAGTCTGCTGAGGCCACAGTGCCATACATGTATAATGTATGTATACGTCTTCATTCATAGCTGCAAGTTTATGCTAGTGTGGAGTTATGTCCCATAAAGTAAAACGTTTTTCACATGTGAACAAGTATTCCTCCTACAGTATCAGTGTATTCTCATTATGAGTTCGTATGAAATCGTACGAAAAGTTATGCACCGTAATTTCGTGCGTTTTGGACATTTTTTTCGTCGTATGCGCATGCGCATCTTACGCCCCATTCAAGAACATAGAATATACATTAGAATTAGCCCTAACCCTAACCCTAACCCTAAGATATAAAACAGCAAGCAACGGAGTTAGAGACATGAATAAGTGATTATTGCACGATTGTTCCCAGTTTTACGTCTGTCCGCGGATCTGCTTTTTTTTCTGTCTGCCAGCGCACGCGCACTGATCTGTTTTTTTTGACGAAAAACGTCCAAAACGTACGAAATAGTGTGCATAACTTTTCGTACGATTTCATACGAACTGATAATGAGAATATTTTGACAGTATGTAGGGTCCAAAACGCAGGACCTGAAATTTACCATTGAAACAAAGAAACAATCACATGTAAAAATCACATGTGAAAACATAGGGAGCACTTTTAACAATCTAACATTTTTTTACACACTATACAAATGTTCATTTCTATTTTCAATTTGGAATTTGATTCATATGATTTCACGTTACACAAATATTTACACAAGACTATCATCTATAAATACAATGTGATTCATATTTGAGGCACATGCGAAAAACATAGGAATCACTTTTAACAATCTAAAAATTTTTTACACACTATACAAATGTTCATTTCAATTTGGAATTTGATTCATGTGATTTCACGTTACACAAATCTTTACACAAGACTATCATCTATAAAGACAATGTGATTCATATTTGAGGCATATGCGAAAAACATAGCAATCACTTTTAACAATCTAAATTTTTTTTACACACAAAAGTTGATTTCAATTTTCCTTTTTTTCCAAATGTGATTCACATGTTTACACATGAAACTTCACATGTGATTCCTATTCGAAGCACATTTGAGGCAAATGTGTAGCGCATGTGAACAACATGGGAATCACTTCTGATTTTAACATTCCAAATCCGCACCAATACATGTGGTATTACAAAACATTCACATGTAAAGTTCACATTTATCTTTTTCCAAATGTGATGTTCCAAATGTTTTCTCATGCGATATCACATGTGATTCCTATTTGAAGAACATTTGAGGCACCTGTACATCACATGTAAAAACACACGCATCAGAATTGTTTTTGCAGTTGATACACATTTTTTTACACGTAATTCTCATATGAGATCCACATTTGAAGCACATGTGGATCACATATGAAAATGTGGAAATCACATGCGCTTTTAACAGGAAATTTCCCTATTCCACAAATATACATGGGGTACATATGTTTCACATGTGTGATTCATGCAGTTTTTCTGTAACTGTAAATAAATTGTAAATCTTCCATAAAGGAAAACCATGTACCTGATTACTAAGCGAGTCCTTCCTTACTTCACATAGCCACGTCACAGTTATCACCGAGTTTAGGACGAAAGAAAGGAAGAGATTTTTGTGAAGAGTTATTCTCTCGCAGCTCAAAGTTCTGAAGAAAATCAGGAAAAGGACTTTAGAGAAACATTTCAAATGGACCGGTAATATTGAATGTGCTCCTAATTTAAATCAACTTACTTAAAATAGAAGAATATTCCTAATGAAATGAGGAGTGAAATGAGTGATAGGCCATGGCCAATCATGGTCAAGTAGAAGTGGGTCATTGTTGCAGGCTGTGTAAAGATTGATTTGTCATTACTAGCTACATTGACAACAAAACTGCAACATGAGTCTCAGTTCTTGTTGTCGTTCTCTTACCGTCCGGTCGGTATTATTAAACTGGCAGCTATTGAAGTCTGTCCACGTTCTGTTGCTCTCTGGGTGTCGTCCCCACTCCCCTGTGTTTGTGCAGACTTTTTCTGCCATGGCTTCGTTAAAAAGGAAATAATTGTGAATAAATTAGATGACATTACAACAACAAACTGTTTTGTCTATTAAAAAAAAACATATATTCATATGTATATAATCTAATTAAATAATTATAAAACTTTACTTCATAAATTGGTATACATTCAATAGTCACTAAATAATCTTTGCTGTTTGGGTTTAACTTAACTTCATCTGAAAATGAAATGTTTAATTTTTAAAACCTAATTTAGAATTATTCAGTTTTTTGTTGATGAGTCTTAGGTAATCTAAAATAATGTGTCTAAAATAAGATTTGAGTCATTAGTTTAATACATTTTGATGGGTCCAAAATATCTACATCTCAGGGAAAGGATTAGGGCAATTAAAAAAAGGGCCACTCAATACAACAAAAAGACTACTAACTTATGACTAAATTTAACTCGGAATTCTGACTAATTCTGACTTTGTTCTCAAAATTCTACTAGTATTATTCTAAGAATTCTGTCTTTATTCTCAGAATTCTGACTTTAATTTCAGAATTATGATTTTTATTCTAAGAATTCTGACTAATTCTGATGTTAATCCAGGAATTATGATTTTAATCTCAGAGTTCTGACTTTATTCTAAGAATTCGGACTAAGTCTGATGCTGATCAAGGAATTATGATTTTAATCTCAGAGTTCTGACTTTATTCTAAGAATTCTGTCTTTATTCTGAGAATTCTGACAAATTCTGACTTTAATTTCAGAATTATGATTTTTATTCTAAGAATTCTGACTAATTCTGACGTTAATTCAGGAATTATGATTTTAATCTCAGAGTTCTGACTTTATTCTAAGAATTCTGACTAAGTCTGACGCTAATCAAGGAATTATGATTTTAATCTCAGAGTTCTGACTTTATTCTAAGAATTCTGTCTTTATTCTGAGAATTCTGACAAATTCTGACTTTAATTTCAGAATTAGGATTTTTATTCTAAGAATTCTGACTAATTCTGACGTTAATCCAGGAATTATGATTTAAATCTCAGAGTTCTGACTTTATTCTAAGAATTCTGACTAATTCTGACGTTACTCCAGGAATTATGATTTTGATCTCAGAGTTCTGACTTTATTCTAAGAATTCTGTCTTTATTCTCAGAATTCTGACTAATTCTGACTTTAATTTCCGAATTATGATTTTTATTCTAAGAATTCTGACTAAGTCTGACGCTAATCAAGGAATTATGATTTTAATCTCAGTGTTCTGACTTTATTCAAACAATTCTGTCTTTATTCTCAGAATTCTGACTAATTCTGACTTTAATTTCAGAATTATGATTTTTATTCTAAGAATTCTGACTAATTCTGAGGTTAATCCAGGAATTATGATTTTACTCTCAGAGTTCTGACTTTATTCTAAGAATTCTGTCTTTATTCGCAGAATTCTGACTAATTCTGACTTTAATCTTAGAATTATGATTTTAATTTTAGAGTTCTAAATTTATTCTCAGAATTCTCACTTTAATTTCAGAATATCCTCATAGAATTATAACAAATTTTTATATCCCTACTAGTTCCTTAGTTTTGGCAATAGAGTAAGTATTCTGAGAATAAACTCCGTATTCCTGAGGTGTCATTTGTTTATTGTTTTTATTTTATGGTCCTAATCCTCTTTTGTAACTTCTGGTTTCAATACCAACATTGACACAAAAGAATTCTGCACAAATAGCCTGGTACCCGTACTGTCTCCATACTTAAACATACAATAAATGCAATATATTAGTCAGTTATTGTTTTCTTTAAGTTCCTTTCCTCTATAACTTTTTAAAAGACTTAAAAAATTCACCTTGCGTATCAAAATCATGGAAGTAGTCCGGACAATTCTGTCTTTTCACTCCGGGTTCAGTTTGTTCCCAGCAGAGCCATCCATCCCATGTCGTGTTACACATTGGCCCTGATTGAAAATAATCAACCTTTTAAAAGTAGTTACAAACAAACTTCATTTTTTTTCATTTTAATATTAATTCATTTTCTTTAAAAAAAAATATGCTAAAGAAAAAATATTTCAGTCTAGATTTTTCAATAACCCTAATTCTAATTTCAATAATGTCCATAATCATTCACAAATTAGTTTCATTACTTATTTAATTAGAAAGCTTTTCATTTCAAAACACTTCTTAAACACAAGTCCTTCCAAACTTTAGTATACCCATGGCTCACCTGCAGATTTTATTGGATGATAAGATTTTTGTGTAATACTCTGAAAACACTGGAACTGAGCTCTTGAAATCAGCTGGCGAACGTTCTGGTGAGTCCGGTGCTCGTTCTTGTCTCCCTCCGATGTGGCGCCCACCAACATCTTAAGATCAGTAAAGATCAGAAAATGTAAATGTTAAAATTGAGGCAGAAGACAGTGTGATAAATTTCAACCTAGACAAAGTTAGTTTTTTTTTGTTTTTGTTTTAGATCAGGCCTCAAAACCAGCAGAAATTGTTAGGCTTCCAGTTTGTGTGGGTTGTGTTTTTCTTTGTTTTCCCTCCACCACCGGGTGGCGCCTGGTTCTCGTTGGCCTTCTCACACACCTGCGGATGGTTGCCTCGTTAACGGAGTGCTCTTAAGCTGCTGACTGCCACTACCTCGACGCCAGAGTGTTTGCCAGTTTTGGGTACTCTAGCCAAGCTGAGTTTTGCTTAGTCAAACTGAGTTTTTGTCAAACTGAGTCTTAACCTAGTTGTTTTTTTGTCTTTGCCTTTCGGCAAGAAGTCATCCTGCAAACTGGATGTTTTGGACCTTCTCTCCCCTGGAAGGATTGTCTGAGCGTCAAACTGAGCTGAGGATTCAAACAGGTGGTTTGGATCTACTTTTCCCCAAAGGATTGTTTGGGATTCACACTGAGCAGGGGATTCATCTCCACAAGAAACAGTTCAAGTACCATAGAAAATGGTAGAAGTGGCAGTCAGCTCCTCCGTTCCTCAAGGAAACACCTCAACCTGGATAAACCCTGTCAGCCCTCCAACGTGCAACTCAATTACTGGAACAACTCACACTGACTGGATTCAACGAAAGACACCTGGAAACGTGAGTCCTGTTGCCTTTATTCACTTTAATAAGTCGAAACACAAATTTCCCTCTGAGCCTGAATTAACCACAGGATCTTCCCCTTCACTTTTCAGTCCCGGTTCGCCAGTGTTCAGAGCAGCACTGGGCCCTTCTCTACCAGTTCATAATAAACCTGTTTAACCTTCCCCTGGTCTCTCTGTTTGGTTTTCTGCATATGGGTCAGATCTTTGGATTAAATCATGACAGAAATATTAAAGACAGAAGGGAATCAGACTCCAAAAAAAAAAAAAAAAAAAAAAAATCCGTGGGAGGAGATGTGCTCTTGAATACAATAAAAAAAAAAAATCTGGACAACCACCACTCAGGTGTTCTTCCTGAATTTAACAACACCGTATAGGTGAAATACATTCTGGTTTAAAGAAAAGTATTTATTCAACTAAACTATTAGCCTAATGACAATTAAGCTGTTGTCTTAAATGTTTTAGATTAAAGGTGGAAGTTCTGGTTCCTTAGTGTTTTTTTTGGTTTATTTGTCCATTCGTCCGTCCATCTTCATAGCGCTTTGTAAAAACCAGCAATCTGACTTTTTCATGTTAAAACCTGTGTTTATGTTGAGCTTCAATTAAATTCTGCCAAAAACTCACAACAGTGTGCTCTCCACGTTGCCCAATTTTTATCCTCCTGCTGCATGGATGTCAAATCCTGGAGGGTTTATAACCTTAGCGTGCTTTGCAAAAGTAACTCTCGCCTCTATTCCACCCAAATAGGTGATTGCACCAGTCAGGACTTTACCTGGATTCAGTCGCTAAGTGTCGCTACTTGTTTAACTTTTTACACCAAAAAACAATGTTAAAGCAACCGCAGCTAACTGCTAATGTTAACGCTACAGCCATATGGATAAATATACGCATACCCTCACTAGAAAATATAAGGGGAATGAAAAGCTGTCAGAATCAGCTTTTTTTATTTTTTCGTTTTTTCTACAAAACTTTAGTAAACGTGAATTTAATTTCCATTTCTGTCTAGTATTGTATACCAGGTTATGACTCCTTTAAAGTAAGACTGTGTAACTTTTATCTACTAGGGGCACTAGACCTGTATTTTCCAGGTTAGGCGCTCTTGAAAGCAACCAACAACACTGCACTGTTGTAAAATAAGTTGAGATGTATTTTAAAATAAGTAAATATTTGGGTAAAATCTTGCACTCTGTTTAAAAAAAATAAAAAATATATTATTTGATTTCAATATATATGACTCAAACTTTTAACTGGCCAAATCAAATTCAACAAAACCCCTTGAAAAGGCATCAATTAAATCAGCTGCTGTTCTTTACTCCTGGGAGCGTCTAGCCTGCCATAGAAAAATGCTGTAATGGTGGACAGTAGCCTTATTATGGCAGTATGGGCCTCAAATTTGGACGCCACATACATCCTGCAGATTAAACTTTTTCAAAGCCTTGGACATTCTTCAAAATGTTGCTTTATTGATTTAATAACAAACTTTTAAAGAGATTAAAGCATCTACCCAGTCTCCAAAACAGAGGACAGTTGCTTCCCACCATTTAGGTACCACAGCATAACACAGATCTTGACAGGGGTGGAGCTAGATGGTGGGCCAGTGGTGGCCATGATGACCCTTATCCAATCAATTGGCCACCCCTGTTCAGTGGCTGAGCCTGAAATTGTCATAGTGATGGCCAGGCAGGGATCAATGTGCACCGAGTAGTGGCCAAAAACTGAAAGGCCCAAAAACCAACCAATCTACACCAACCACATGGTACAGTACTAACAGGAAAATTACATCTGTATTTTTCCAAATAATTGGCCGAAGACAAACCAACTTTGGATAAAGCTTTTGCCTATAAATCTAAACACATATTTATAGGGTACATCAATTCTGCCTAAATTAAATGTATTAAACGTATAGTTCTGAAATATATCCACATTAAATGGTTAGTTTAGTTGTTACCTATTACTAATTATTTCAAAGACTCTTAGATGACTTGCAGAGACACATTAATTGATTAATTAAAAAAAGTTCTTAAAAGAGCATGAATTGTGTTTGTCATCTTTAATGTTCGTGAAGATCAGCAAAACTCCCGAAAATCGGTGATCTACCCTTCCTCTATCCATCTAGTCTTCAAAACCAAAGATCACAGGAGGCCCCCAATCTGGGGGGTTTGTATGTTGATGTGAATAATGAATTAATGCATTACTTTTATCAGTTTATGGTCAGTAAACTTACAATATGTTAATTAGTCAGAAGATTCCTCTTGAGGGCATCACTGCTGCCACCCTCTGGCTCAGAAGTGAACTGCTTGTTAAAGAGGTAGAACTTTTTGTATAAGTAGGAACAACAAATCCCCTGGTAGAGGGAGCCATGGCCACCCCTGGTCATCCCCTACCTCCGCCTCTGTGTCGTTCCCTACCAGGTGATCCCAGGTGGACATAATTAACAAGCAGTTCCCCTCTAAACCAGAGGGGGGCAGCAGTTATATTCTCAAATGTAATGTCATAACTATTTTTACATCTTAATTGCTCATATATTAACAACAGACAGCAAAAATACAACACTTAATTACTCACATCAATATATTAGGGTTTATTATGGTAAATATAAAATTCATGCTCTTTCCAGACAGTGTTTTTGTATTTTATGGTACAGTAGAGGAAGTTGCGTGTCTCTGCAAGTCATTTTGGAGTCTTCTTTTTAATTAAACATATAAACATATATGGATTAGTATATCTGTATCAAAATATTATGCTGAAAAAGTATTGCTAAAAGTATAGCGGTTTTCAGAAATGCAGGTAAGAAACACCTACGTTTTTTTGATTAACTTGCATGCGCAAGAACATCCCACCTGCTCTACCACCATTGTGTGAAAGACTCTCAAACACACTCAACTCTATATTTCTTTCTTCTAGCGCATTCCTCTTCTTCGCATACACTTTTAGCCATTTTGAAAGTATGCAATGAGAGCTGGAGCCCCTCTGGAGCTAAGGTACCACAGTGAGAGATCAGAGAAACGTTCTGGGCAGACAGAGCACCAGAGCGGGGGAGAGGCAGCGGCTGGCCAACATCTACTACAAAACTAAAAATGGCTTGAAGACATTATTTTCTCTGTTTTCAGTTGCGATTGAAAAAAGCTGGTCTCCAATTCCCTTCTTTGACGTAGGTCATAGAAACATCTAGTGTCTGATTGGACTTCATAACGTTGATGTAAACAAAAGTTCAGATATGGCTTCCCCTATTTTGCTGGCATGGTGGCGATCTAAGTTCACTCAATTCACAGAAATCGGGCCATTCGTCTCAGTAAAACGGCAACCTTTGCCTCACAGTGTACCAGAACTGCCCCTCACATGGAAATCCTTTGCGCTAGCTTCGCTGTGTGAGCTGGAGAGAATTTACAGGAGTGTGAATATCAAGCTATGAGCGCAGAGAAAAAACATTTTAACCTTTGACATATGGGGCGCCTCATGGTATTCAATCTGCAGGTATAAAACATTCAAAATATGCATAGAGAGTAGTTTACGTCTGTGTGTTTTAGATAAAACAGCTATCATGATTATTTTTTATGTACATGCACTAATGGCAGAATTCTGACTTCTTACAATAGATAGGATAATCTCCCCCTAAGGCCAGATGCTGAAAGAAGATGATTAATATACCCTTCATTGAGAAAACATGGAGGTTTCATGTATTTTGTTTATAAGCAAGGGCTTTGAAAAAATGCAATTGGTCTTTATGTTGTGCTATGGGCAATTCAGAGTTGTTTACATTAGAGAAAAAAATTCTATAAAAAAAAAAATTGATAAGCTTCTTTTGCTACAGATTTTTTAAATGAAAATTCATAAAACATAAAAGGTCCAGGCAGGAAATTTCCAGGACCTTTTGCTTTTTTAATTGATTTCTTGTGCCTATCCACTTCTGACCGAAGGAATTGTACAACCAAAACATGATTAGCCTTCATTTTCTATTCACCCCCATGCTGAACAACACTCTGGAGTACTTTTTTGATATCTCAAATGCATCTGGAGATCTGGGAGGCTTCTTGCTGTCTGCTGACATTCAAATAATGGAGGTCTATGGTGCCCGAGGCAGAAAGGTCCATAAAAGTCCACAAAAAACGTGTCAATATTCCTCCATACTGCTCGTCCAATGTATTCCAAGTGTCCTGAGTGGGTAGCATCCAGAATTTACTTGAAACGAAGTCATTTAGAATGTTTTTAGAGCATAAACAGTAGTGTATAGGACTTCCTAAAAGCGAGTTCACGACGCTACGGAAACCGCGGCAGACCAAACCAGACGAAAGTGCGCATTCAGCTCGGCAAAGAACTCATGCTCTTCCTCAACACTGAAGTCCTCAGACATTTTTCTTTCGTTGTTTCTTTCTTTGCACAGGTAAACAGCACATTTCTTCTTCTACGCTTGCATTATTGGCAGAGCAGACGCTGAATGCGCACTTTCATCTGGTTTGGTCTGCCGCGGTTTCCGTAGACTCATGAACGCGCTTTTAGGAAATCCTATACACTACTGTTTATGCTCTAAAAACATTCTAAATGACTTCGTTTCGAGTAAATTATGGACGCTACCCACTCAGGACACTTGGAATACATTGGACGAGCAGTATGGAGGAATATTGACACGTTTTTTGTGGACTTTTATGGACCTTTCTGTCTCTGGCACCATAGACCTCCATTATTTGAATGTCAGCAGACAGCAAGAAGCCTCCCAGATCTCCAGATGCATTTGAGATATCAAAAAGTACTCCAGAGTGTTGTTCAGCATGGGGGTGAGTAGAAAATGAAGGCTAATCATGTTTTGGGTGTACTATTCCTTTAAGTGGATGTGGGTCCCTGCCTGGGCACCCCTATAAAAATTTACCAGCTAAATTACTGGCCCAGTAAACATCACCACCCCCATACCGGTAAGGATGAGCACTAAGACATGCACAAGACACCCCCAGGCCCTGATGTCAAGCTAATAAAGCAAATCCCTGCAGCTTAGTCTATGTTTGTTATGCAATATTCCTGAAAAAGTGCTAAATTCACCTAATTTCATTTTGACAGAAGATAACCCTATGATGCAACATTAGCATGAGTCGAAACTAACTTGAAACAGGGGTGGAAACAATAAAGCTTGATCACCTTATTCAGGGAGAGGAGTGCCAGCAGAGACACGATGCCGCTCAGATCCATCCTCTTCCTCTTCTCTGGGGAAACAAAAAAAAAAAAAAGATATTAATCATAAAACAAATACTTAAAATGAAATCCAGGTGTTCTATACCCCATAACGTGTTATGTAATATCTGGAGTTATTTTTAGTTGATTCAGAGGAACAGGTAAAAGTTTCAGCACTTTTGCAAATAGTTTGTCCCAGGAGCTCGCGAATAAAAGCTCTTCCTGAGCAGCTGTTGAGTTGATCCAGGACGTTTCTGCTCTGTCATATATGCTCTCCGTTCTTTTCAGTCAGTATTCTTCAGATAATTCATGTTATTAAATCCTAACGGGTCACGATTCTCATAAATCGAGATAATGTAAACATAAGAGAAAGAAACGGTCTTTACATAGACTTGCTTTAAATATGGAGAAGGCAGATCTCCCCCTTTTTTCTTCGGGATGTCAGGGTCACAGATTTAGCCTTTGCTTCCTCCGCTCCCCGCAGTTTCCTTCCTGCAGCTTTATGCCTGCTGAGCAAGTTTAACCAAGGTCCCAAATACAGCAAGCACCATCAGCAGTGGCTGGCATTGTTAATACAAACCATTATAGAAACGGTCTTAAATAGATCTTTTAATCTCATTCAGGTGGAGTTTGATTCTTTGATATCAACAAAAATAAAGAATCTAATTAACGATTTGCAGTTCTGGAAGAGCTAAGAATATACATTGGAACTGTTCATGCATCAATTTGTACTGTAAACCAATACTTTGAAAGCTGAGTATGGAGTTATTTTAACTCCATTATTGGTCCAAGAAAATAACACGTTTTGTTAGTGGAAATTGAAAAAAAAATCTAAAATAAAACTTTGTAGAAGTTCATAATTAAAACGTGATTGTTTGAAGAGAACCTTTGCTGTTTTCCTGTTTTTTTTTTACAGGTTTTTTATTTTAAAATTTTCTTATTTCAAATTTATTTTTTTCAGATGTACTTTTATGAATGTTGTTATTTTCAAACTGCATTGCTCAGATCAAATTTTCTTCATTTAAAGCAGGGATTTTCAGCATTTTCCAGGCCAACGACCCCCAAATTGATGTAAGATGGAGCGGGGACCCCCTAATTATAGATATTGCATGAAATTGTGTTATATCAAACTGATCCCTTAGTCACTCTATTACAGATGGAGTAATGAAACCAAAGTTATATCTCCCTGGGATTATTAAAGTATTTCTGATTGTGATTCCTGGTTGATGGGACAGGTGTTGTGAATGAAAAGGTGCCCCCCTTGAAAGAGCTCCTGTGTGTCGCTGAATGTGTGCATTGATTACTGGAAGACATCTTCTGCTTTCATTTATCTGTTTACTACAGTGTGTTGAATTCCTGTTAATGTGGATTTAAAGACATTTCAATTAGTGGAAAAAATTGCAGCGGGTTAAAAAATGTCTGATCAACCTAAACTTCCGTGACCCCTATGCAGTAACTCTGAGGACCCCATAGGGGTCGCGGACCCCCTGTTGAAGAACTCAGATTTAAAGCCTAATTACAAAATGCTCACTCTTGACCAATAAAAATACTATTGCTATTGTCAATGCAGACAAACAGAAACATGTCTTTGCTCCTTACTACAAAGGAATCCCCACCCCCAGACATAAAGAGAGTGTGATCTGAAAAACACAATTTGAGAAGAATTCAATTCGTAAAACTCAGTCTGAAAAAAAAGTTTTTTTTTTAAAGAAATGAAGTTATTTGACAAAAAAAATCTGACGTAAAAATTAAGTTTCAATCAAAAATGTTTTCTTTGATTTAATTTTTTAAAGTTTCAATTATTAACTTTTATTTCTTTTTCATTCCATTTGATAAATATGTTTAATGCATCCACAATAACGGGGGGAAAAAAATCGCCTCATAGTTTTAATTTTGAGTTAATTCATTTTATTTCATTTAGCTCTGATTCCCAACACAACGTCTCAAGGCACTTTACAGAACAAATCCCTTCAATCCTATAATGAGATTGTTTTAAATGAACATGATTTCTCATTTCTTTCAGTGCAAAATGAAGCCCATGTTGTTTCATGGTTTAAATATTAGGATATAATACTTAAACTTTTTTCTGTAAAGCTAATTAAACAGTTGCTATATAAGCGGCCTTATTCTTTATTTATTTATTATTTATTTTCATTTTGTACTTTACAACAAAACAGGATTCATGTACTGTACGGTTACTTTTTTCTGATATTGCCGCTGTGCTGGTTAAAAACGTTTATGCTCCATATCTGCAAACTGCTAAAAATCCATTCCACCTTAGAGGTAATCGCAAGACAGATTGGAAGAAACAATTGATTATCAAATGTCATTAATAATGCAATTGCACTCATCGTGATTCAGTATTTTGTCCGCCCTCATGCGCTATTGCTAGCTTTACATTTCGGCTGCAATTTGTGTATGGGAATAACGCTTCACTTGCATAATCGCTTCATCAAACAGGAAGATTTTCTATCAACTGCTCATTGGTTTCAACTCAACATGCTGGACCTGGATTTTATCAAAGTTGCTGTGCTTTTTGTTATTATGGAGAGCCAATCAGTGGCCCTATTGTTGCCATCATGGGGTCCATCCGATTATTCAGAAATGTTCACAGGTCAGGGAATCCCGGAGCTGTGGAGTAGTACTCTCTGACCAGAAATTAAAATTGTTATCCTTTTTTGAGGTTGGATTACTGGGACAACAGAGGTAAGGCAAGGAGGTGCTCTGGAGCTTAGATAGGAGCAGTGAGAGTTTAGAGCAAGAGACCAGGTGGAGGGAGCACCAGAGCTGGACAGAGGTAGCAGCAAGATGTGACCAGATCTGGTGCTATAAGAGGAGGATGAGTCTTCAACGGAAAATAGATTAGATTTGCCCTTGGTCCAACACAACTGAATCAAATTAGTGAATTGGCTCCTCAGTATGCAGTCGACTTCTCCAGAGTCCTCACAGTCATCTAATAACTTCACCCAGTTATGATAGACTAAGGAAACTTAAAAGTTGCAGTATACCAGCCCTTAGGAACTACATCTGTCCACCATTGTTTAAAGCACAAAATAGCAGACATGTCTTCCAAGAACTGTGTACCTCCCCTAAATCTGTTCCTGGTACCTGACCTTTCTGGCTTACTTTCATCCCTGGGTACAGGTGATGGGGCTAGGCAGGCTTGCATCTGCAAAAAGGCCGGTTTATAGGCCCTTTATGAGGTAATGTCAAAGAGATACAACATGGGGTCCCTTAGAGAAAAATACCTTAAATTTCATACACGTAAATAACGAGAAACCCATGTACCAAATGCAAAATTTACATATGTACCACATGTAAATCAAATTTAAAAAGATATATATGTTGATTTGGAATGTTTCATGCTAAGGAACATGTGTATCACATTGAAAAACCTTATTACCATTAGAAGGATGTGATTTACATTTGAGGCACATGTGTGTCACATCTGAAAAACATGCTATTCACACGTTTTATATGTGAAAATCATTTACCGCGTGAAATCAACATGTGGTACACATGTGTAATACATGTGAATAATCATAAAAGCATAATGTAAATCTGTCGATTTGGAACGTTTCATGTTAAGAACATGTGTATAACATTGAAAAACCTGATTACCATTAGAAGGATGTGATTTACATGTGAGGCACATGTGTATCACATCTGAAAAACATGTTATTCTCACATTTTATATGTGAAAATCATGTACCGCGCGAAATCAACATGTGGTACACATGTGTAATACATGTGAATAATCATAAAAGCATAATGTAAATCTGTCGATTTGGAACGTTTCATGTTAAGAACATGTGTATAACATTGAAAAACCTGATTACCATTAGAAGGATGTGATTTACATGTGAGGCACATGTGTATCACATCTGAAAAACATGTTATTCTCACATTTTATATGTGAAAATCATGTACCGCGCGAAATCAACATGTGGTACACATGTGTAATACATGTGAATAATCATAAAAGCATAATGTAAATCTGTCGATTTGGAACGTTTCATGTTAAGAACATGTGTATAACATTGAAAAACCTGATTACCATTAGAAGGATGTGATTTACATGTGAGGCACATGTGTATCACATCTGAAAAACATGTTATTCTCACATTTTATATGTGAAAATCATGTACCGCGCGAAATCAACATGTGGTACACATGTGTAATACATGTGAATAATTATAAAAGCATAATGTAAATCTGTCGATTTGGAACGTTTCATGTTAAGAACATGTGTATAACATTGAAAAACCTGATTACCATTAGAAGGATGTGATTTACATGTGAGGCACATGTGTATCACATCTGAAAAACATGTTATTCTCACATTTTATATGTGAAAATCATGTACCGCGCGAAATCAACATGTGGTACACATGTGTAATACATGTGAATAATCATAAAAGCATAATGTAAATCTGTCGATTTGGAACGTTTCATGTTAAGAACATGTGTATAACATTGAAAAACCTGATTACCATTAGAAGGATGTGATTTACATGTGAGGCACATGTGTATCACATCTGAAAAACATGTTATTCTCACATTTTATATGTGAAAATCATGTACCGCGCGAAATCAACATGTGGTACACATGTGTAATACATGTGAATACTCATAAAAGCATATGTAAATCTGTTGATTTGGAACGTTTCATGTTAAGAACATGTGTATAACATTGAAAAACCTGATTACCATTAGAAGGATGTGATTTACATGTGAGGCACATGTGTATCACATCTGAAAAACATGTTATTCTCACATTTTATATGTGAAAATCATGTACCGCGCGAAATCAACATGTGGTACACATGTGTAATACATGTGAATACTCATAAAAGCATATGTAAATCTGTTGATTTGGAACGTTTCATGTTAAGAACATGTGTATCACATTGAAAAACCTGATTACCATTAGAAGGGTGTGATTTACATTTGAGGCACATGTGTATCACATCTGAAAAACATGTTATTCTCACATTTTATATGTGAAAATCATGTACCACGCGAAATCAACATTTGGTACACATGTGTAATACATGTGAATACTCATAAAAGCATATGTAAATCTGTTGATTTGGAACGTTTCATGTTAAGAACATGTGTATCACATTGAAAAACCTGATTACCATTAGAAGGATGTGATACACATGTGAGGCACATGTGTATCGGGTCGGGTACCCGCGGGTACCCTGTCGGGGACCCGCGGGTACCCGACCTGTTGCAGGACTCTAGAACAGCAGAAGCAAGGAGAGTCGTTTCAGAGGAGATGGAGAAGGAGCTAGCAGACCATATGAAGCAGTTCACAGACCAGTTCATGGCCTTACACCAAAGAAATGCCGGGAACTGTCATTAGAATTGGCAATCAGAAACAACATTCCTACCCCCAGCAACTGGAGAGAGAAAGGTTTTGGAAGTGCAAGAAACAACGTAACTCAGTAGGTTGGCATAGGCCAATTTATCTTGTGTAGTTCAATACAGTACCATTTCCTTTTTAGGTAACGATTGGTTTAGGAATTTTATGGCACGCCACCATCTCTCCTGCCGTATAACCGAAGCAACATCTTTGGGAAGGGCTACGGTCTTTAATAGAACAACAGTTGGAGAGTTCTTCGACAATCTGGCTAAGGTGATGGACAGATAACAGAATTCAAGAATTCAATTTGAAAAAATTAATAACTATTTATGACAACTACATACAACAGTTAAGTGAAATAACCATGCTGGATATGTGTCTCCTAATGACATTCTACACTTACCCAAAAGTCAGAACGCCCGGAAACAAACAAACCGAAAGCGTGTGAAGACAAGAATCCTGACTGATACACCTAAAAAGCAGGCGATCAAAAGTGCCCATAAAGAGAGGCAAAATAAACAGAAAGGCAAAACAGAAAGATCCATAAAAGAGAAAGGAATGCTGAAGAGGAAACAAACCCAGAAGAAAATCGCAGTAGAAATCAGCTCTGAGGAGAGTGATGTTGCCATCCCATTTGAAGACACTTCTGAGCACGAGAGTTCCAGCGATGAAAGAAGTGAACCAGATGTCTCAGATCTGGTAGTTGGTGACTTTGTCATCGTAAAATTTGCATCCAAATGCAGAAGCCACCATTACATTGGCTTGGTTCACAGCCTTGCAGGCAACGAAGTGAGTACCAGATTTCTGAGAAGAATCCGAGGGATCACTGGCAGTTAGAAACCCACCTTTGCATTCAAGGAAAATGATGAGGCATCTTTCCCACAGAGTGATGTGTTGAAGAAGCTACCTCAACCGCAAAAGGTTGGAGGGACTGCAAGGAGGGAGCAACAGTTCATGTTCCTCTGCAACCTTGACAGTTGGAATATTGAATAGTTCTTTTGGTTAAATGGTTTTGAAACTAACTGGTGGTTTGTTCTCAGAAGTTCAATACTTTTCAAACTGTTAGCACAATATGCTCATGTTTACATTTTAAAACCTAGAGGGTCAGTTTACCCCAAGATGGCTCAATTTACCCACTTACTTGGTTCAACTTACCCCTAACTTGGGGCAAGTTGAGCCACAGGAGCACTTTTTTTTGAGAAGTCATTATTTTGGGCAGCTTTGTTAGAGATGTATTCTGATAATTTAATTTGATAGGAGACATCCTAAAATAAAATAATATGTTTTTATTCTATTTCTGTGACATTTTTCCTTAGGTCCAGAACAACATAAGTAAAAAATGGCTCATCTTACCCCACTCTCCCCTACTGGAGTTGAGGGGAGTGAGGGGGGATGGCATCCCCCCCATACCATCTCCTGGAACATTGTATTACTGAATGTGTAAAATTTTTACTATATATTAACAGTAATGGCAATAATATTGCCCTTTCAACATTCGGTGGGCTTACAAATAGGCTGAGCAAAATAAATTAATTGAAAGAAGTGGCCTACCATGACTATGGAGCTGATTCCAGTGGGAAATTTGTCCTCTGCATTTGTCCCTAACTATGTAGGGGCAGTGATAGCCATGCCAGTCCAGGGACTGACTGCAGTTTCCCAAAAAAAAAAAGAAAATCCGACCATCCCCTTTCTCTTATTTTACAACTAAACTATTGAAAATAAGCGTATCTGTTCTTAAAAATAATCATATTAATAGATTGGTAAAGTGTATCACTCATCTGATCAACACTAGCAAACATTTTTTTTCAAAAGTTTCAAGAACAATGACTTACTTATATATTACTTATATAAGTATTTGGGACCTTACTTATATATTTTCTTTTTTGCAGCGAAAGAAGCAGATATGTAAAATTCCGCTAATAACTGAATTTAATTTGACCTCTTTTTAAAGGTCATACTTATTTTTTTTCCGTCTTTGAATTGTGTGAAACCTCCTGCTTTTTCTATTCAATCCAGTACTGCAAAAGTTGTCCCTTTCAATGATATATCTAGCCAAAAAGTTTGTTTTGAGATTGATACACAAAGCAGGGGCTGATTCTCTCTGATTGTCAGTCTCCTTTACAAAGAATTTACCAGCACAATCAGAGTTTCACTTGGTAAGACTAAATAAATAAATAAATAAATAAATAAATAAATAAAAATAATAAAATAATGACATGGACAATATTCTCAAAAGAAATAGAGCTCACTAATAAAGGCCACCAATGACATTATCCCTCTGTTTAACCTAGAAATAAGGATTTTAGTTGTATGAATATTACTAAAAAAACACAGATTTTCTTTTTAATAGATGTTTTATTCATTGATTTTAATTCTTAGTATAAACACGGATATATTTTAATGGAAAATGTATTTTCACAATGTTAAAAAGCTGTTCTTTGAATCTGATTTAAAAAGTGTGAGATTTACAACACAGAGGCTGCATCATAAATCGCTCAAAAATTATTTTTCAACAATTGAGAAAGCTTCCTGGAGAGGTGGCGAAACGTCTTCAAATCTTGAAAACCAAGTCCAGTGGATATTTTTTGATTTTTTACGGAATGACTATGACCTGGATGACTGAGAACCTTCATCAGCATATTTTTCAACAACCTTTGGACTATACTGGATAAGAGCTGCACTTAGTATATTGATTTTTCCCCTTTTCTGTATAAATATGTTTAGAGGAATTAGCAAGCTTTTCTTCCAATGATAGATCTACCTTAAAATCAGTATACAGAAATAAAATACAAATGAACATGGAAGGTGGAAAATAACATTTACTGATGTCAAAAAAATTCTAGTTACATAAAGGGGAAAGAAAATAAGAAATAAAGAAAAAAAATCTCTTTGGAACTTAATAATAATAATTAAAAAAACAAGTTCTAATGAGCAATAGATGATAAACAAAACTTCAACCTTACCAAAATAGAGGGCACCACTGGCATGAAATTAATAAAGCAAACCAGTAAAGAACTTCATAGCAACTCTGAAGCACGGAGGAAGACATATCATTCTTTCGTGTAGCAGGAACTGTCGTCAGCTCATTGGCAACATGAGTAGAAAATGGACAGTAGATCCACAGAGAACGGGCTCAAATTAAGAAAATAGTCCTAGTCAAAGCCCAGATTATGATTTAATCAATATACCGGTATCTTGTAATAGGTTGTACAAGTTATGAACCCCTCAAACATCTCATCTAACTTACTCCAAACAAAAAGTATCAGGTATTTTTTATATTTTTTGTGTGATTAAGGACATTTTTCATTAACAAATAAGTATTTAATGGGGTGTCTCATGTTTTTTACTCACCACAGTGCACCTCATTCCTTGTGCAATAAGCAAACCCAATATACTTACTATAGTATGGAGTGAAGTATGTTCCATTATTGTTGCAAGTGAGAATGTTTTCTTAGTGGAATTTTGAAAAAAAAATAAAAACAAATAAATATAACGTAAACCCCAAATTAAACTTTGAAAAATGTTTTTTTTTTTTTTACATAAAACCTGAGATTATCCTTGCTGTTTAATTTAATGTTTGTTTGTCTATTCAACTTTATTTGTAATATTTTGTTCTTTCAAATTTTCTTTTTTCTCCATTAATGATTTTCTTTTAGTTTTTACAGTTTTTAATTTTTTCAATTCAATTGTTTTTTTGTATTGGGCTTGAAGGGAAGAGAATGTGATCTGTAAAAAGCATTTTGAAACAGCTAGTTGGCAAAAAATCAGAAAAACTGAAATTTGAAAGAAAAATTTGAATAAATAAATAAATAAAGTGCCTTTTTTTTGTTTTTTCCCCACATTTTCAATTATGAAATGCATTTTTGCTTGCAATGGTAATGTAACAAAATTCATAAAGTGGTATCTTTTTTTTTTAGTTTAATATTTAAAGACTTCTGAAGACACTGCGGTTGTTTTTAGGGTCTAAAGAGTTACACACTTCTCCATCAGAGGTAGTCATTAAAACTACATCGATGCTGGAAACCCCTCATTCCCACTGGGTTTGGCATGTGGACAGCTTTTACTTGTTAAGCGTGACAAACCACACTACATTCCCACATAGAAAACCTTCCTCTTCCCACTTTTTACACTTTTTTTATTTCAGCACAAGATAAAAAAAAAAAAACATGACCTTTTCTATTTAGAACCTTACCTTTACAGAAGTTGAAGGAAAAGGTTTTGTTTTTGAAGAGTAATCCTTTATTTAGAGAGCTGTCCTCTGTCTTTAAGGGAAAAAGGAAGGGTTTCTTTGCTTATTTCCTCAGAGGTTGTTGTCCAGGGTGTGTTGAGCAGCGGAGGTTGAGGCGACACTGAGCTGAACTGAGCTGATTAAAACCGAATGAGGCTGTCCATGACATCACATGTTTGTCCTCACCGAGGGACGTCCCAGGAGACCAATGATGAACATCCCAAAGCATTTTCTCTGTAATTACATTGTAATTAAGAATAATAAAAAAAATATGCTAAACAAATAAAAAAAAAAACTTAAAAACATAATTAATTACTAAGAGACAAAACCGAACAGAGCAAGCATTTTATTTATACTAAAATGCCTATAGAGTTTTACCTGTGATCTTCTATGATCAGTATGATGCCTAAGTGGTTTTGTCATGTAAGAGGCTGAAAAAAACATAAAGAATTTTTAACATTCATATGCTTAACCCTTTAAAGCCCGATCCAAGAATAAAACAGAACAGAAAATTACCTTTTTAACCAAATATGTGAAAAGAAAACACAGAAATACATTTTTGATATTAATAATTTATTACTATGCGATAAGTCAAGATTATTTTTTGTGTAGTCTTCCACTGGCTATCTGATTGTGTACAATAGGATTTTGAGCAAAGTTTTTACCATTAAATTATGCAAAAGGTGTCAGACGCAAAACATTTCAGAAACCGTATGTATCAAATATGATACATTTGGCATTACAGGGTTAAAAAAAATACATTAAATCCATTGAAAATTAAATGTTCTAAGATATTTTCACATTAGAAACTACTTTATGAGCACTTTTTCTTGTTTTACTTTTCCCTTGTTGCATGCGATTAAAAACTTCACTTAGGGTCGCCAAAAAAGGGGGAAAAAAAGAAAAAAAAGAAATTTATTTGCCAAATAAAAGTTTTTTAGTAAAGCGATTTATAAATCAGAAGGTAAAAAAAGAAGGTGCTATTTCTAATACATTTATATAACACAAAATTTAATCTGTTTGTCCCCAAGCTTTATGAGCCTTGATGAAACCTTTAGGGTTTCCCAAAGAGGGGGTCAGGGCCCCTTGGGAGATCCTAAAACACTTTCAGTCATTGTGATGTGATCCTAAAGGCATGTGGAGGACCAAAATATGTCATGAAATGCTTTTATATTTATAAATGCACCATGAAATATGTATATATTACATTTTAGATGCTAAATTTTATCAACATTGATTCAATCATTACAGTAAATATACTATTAAATAAATAAATGCCCTGTAAATACTCAAAAGTGCCATTAATATATAAAAATATATTTAAAGCTATGCAATAAATGTAATTTTAAAACAAGAAATGTGTCTAAAAATGAATATAACTACTTCCCTATATATTTCCCTATATAGACATAGAGTGAATTGTGCCGTCAGGGTGTCGCCACTGTGTGGCACTGTTATTTTTGGGGTCACAGGCTTAAAAGTTTGGGAACCCCTGCTCTAGAAATCCTTTCAGTATAAGAAGCCAAAATCTCCTTAATTTATGATGTTATTTATTCTTGTGAAATTCACCGGTCCCCTCTGTAGCAAAAATACCTAGACAACATGATACCACCACTACCGTACTTCAGTGTTGTGATGATGCTTCCAGATCAAAGGACATGTCTCCTAAAATTAGCAACTCTTATCTTATGTTTATCCTTCTTGATTTGTGGTGTTTCTTATCTTATATGTTGATCATTCTAGCTGAGTAAAAAAGGGAAAAATATGATTTGACTTCATATTAAACAGGTAAGAAAACATAATTATTAGAGAAATCTAGTTTTAATTGCAAGTGGTGTTAAAGGAAAACTCCGGTCAGCAAGGAATAACTAATGGGTCATTATTTATACCCTAAAACTAATACGTTTGTGGTGATTTAATGAATTTAGCGTTTATCAGTAGAAAAAATAAAAGGATTTGCGATTGAACGTCTGGCGAGAGAAAAAAACATCATTAATCCGTTACTCTCTGCTTCGCATAGAGCTCTAGTCATCACCATCATGGATAATAGCACGTTGCGACAAACACCAGATTCAGCATTGGGAATTGCTCAACAGCCAATACCGCACCGTGACGTCACAAACCGGTAGGTGGCAGTAGTGCTCTTTGACAAACATGGATGCCGCCAGTAAAGCCCATTCACATGAAAATTACTCTGAATTAAAAACACTTATCATTCATTGAAAAGTGTGAAATAGATTCATACCTAAAGTACTTTCAGAAGTTTGTATTCTGAATGTGACCGGACTTTAAATAAGTGTTATTACAGGTAAATAATAATATAATCATCACCACTGTTATTTAATAACAGAAAACAATTACTCAGTCACACAGTTAATCAGTTATAGACAACTAAAAAAATTGCAAATCATCCAATTTTTTATTAAATTTTAATTTAATTAATTAAACCATCTAAATAATAATAAAAAAAATTTTATTAACCTTTTTTTTTCAAGATCTCCTACAGCACCTTTAATAAATGCGATGCATTTTTTTTTTTACCAGAGCAATGTCTCCCTCTGCTGGTTATAGGCGGTTTAGTCGCCTCCATTGCCAAGGCTACAAGAACCCCTAAAACGTTTTAGCCTGGTCTAAAACGGGTGAAACGGCTCATTTGTGAAACTTTCAGAAAAAGGTGAGTTTATTTATTTATTAAGAAAATAAGTTGTTTAGTGTTTGGGGAAGCTGATTTCCTTTTTTGAGATAACTGTAATCTTTTTTACGGAAGAGGATTAGGGCCACTGGAAAAACAAACAAACTGATTTTTAAATTTTATTTCAGTTTAACATGGGATAAAAAGTCAGAATTCTGAGATTAAAGTCAGAATTCTGACTTTTTTCTCAGAATTCTGACTTTAATCTCAGAATTCTGACTTTTTTTCCCATACTATACTGAAAAAAAAAAAAAAAAAAACCAGTTAACATTTTTTTTTTCAGTGGCCCTAATCCTCTTCCGTAGATCTGCCACCCAAGAAAAGACCAACCACATTTAGAGAGGATGTGCAGAACAGCTCAGTTATCCTGGATTCATAGAGGAGGAACAAGAGGGATGTTCTTCTTTTATTATTACTTATCTTATATATTTATTTTGGTCCATTGAATATGTTTAAAAGCTTAATTTCCATCACACCTTCCAAATAAAACATCCAGAGAAGTGCTGTCTCCTTTCATGGGGAGTTTTTATAAAATCTACAGCCTTCTAGAAGGTCTAAACTGTTTAGCCGTTTTGTCAATTGTAAGAAAAACTAACAACATAATGAATGAAGATTTTTAATCCTTAGCCCAGTAATAGCTTATTAATTCCCCATTGTTTAATTTACTTGATCTGCAGAGAATAATTAATGAACAAAGTTGTGATATTCTTAGTTTAACGTATATTTAAGATGCAAGTATTTTAGTAGGGCCCATTCTGCTTTACTTCAATTCTCTAAAAATCACCAGAATATAGAAAATAATGTAAATTGTGAGAAAAATGTTCCACATAACTACAGAACACTTACTGTTACTCAGTAACATTTACTCTGCTATAAAAATCCCATAGTTTCCCGCTTTGTTTCAGTTTAATCCCCTGAAAACCTCTAACCTATAGCTGCAACTGTCCTCATCTAACCTGACAGGGTTTCCTGACAAAACTATTTTAAAATCTCACCCCAAGGTTTGGTGAAAATTTGGCAGACCCTCTTTGCTGTATCCTTCTATGTCTAAATATCCTCTTCTGTCAGTGACTGGATGTCCATCAGGACTACAGCCAGGGAGGCAGTGAGGTCCTATCAGGACCAAGCCCTCATTGCCACCATCTTTCTGCTGCGGTCCTATGGCCCGGCTGCGTTTCTTCTCCAAGAGGAGGTAGAGGGAAGAAACTTTAAGGTTAGTCACTCTGAGATAACCGGGTTTATTCTTAGTTCTGATAGATCTGGGGCCATGTAGATCTTGCAGCATGTTTTTCTTATTGTCCAGGTGTGCCTGGGCGAGCAGCATTCATGCACCTATCCCACCTTCAGCAAGAAGCGGGAAATGTGTAAACACATCTGCTGGTATCAGCAACACACACTCACACACACAAAAAGAAGCAGAACCAAATATTATGAAGTTTTTTTTGTTTCAAAACTATTTTTGCATTGTAAGTGGGACTTTAAAGTTAAAGAGAGAGTTACAGTCTAAGTTATTGTAGCAGTATAAAAAAAATCACAAATACAAATTTTTTTTACACCTGTTCAAATTCTAAGTAAAAGTGCACAAATTCTGTTACAACTCTTTAAATTCTTGAGTATAAGTACACAAATGCTGTTCTACAAGTTGCACATCAAATACCTCTTACATTCTCAGTTTTGCTCCAAATAGTCCAGAACTATTGTTGCAAAACTATTTGTGCGTTGTAACGTAGGTGTTTTGTAACTGTAGATGTTTTTTTAATCTATCACAATTACAAAAAAAGTTACACCTCTTCAAATTCTTGAGCACCATTCAGTTTTGCTACAGTCGATCTAAAACAAATGGTGCAAAGAAAAATCAAACACGTGATAAAAATAGAGTAGTAAAAGTGAAATTTAAGATGTGTTATGTTTATGAAAGATAGCCGTTGTTATTTTATTCTTCACTTAATATGTTATAGCAGAATATTCCCAGTGATATTGATTTAAAAAAAAAGGAAACACAAGCATTTGCTTTAAAACAGTACGCTGACAGCAGTGTCTACTCCTTTTTCTGAAAGCCAACAGCTCCTTGTTCGTTTCAACACGTTCCTTAAAAAAAAAAAACTCTCGTTTCTCGGTGTCTAAATGTTCTCATCTCATTGAAAACTGTTGTCAACCTTATTCTTGCAAAAAAATGAAATAATAAATGCTGTGTATGGGTACTTATTATAGGCTATACCCAGTAGGAATATTACTTTTTCCTAAGTCAAAGCCTAGTATCTAATTATAATGTTAAGAATGTGTATATTCCTATACTGGATGTGTAGAGTAGACGGGGATACTAATTCTGGCAATATGGAACGAAATAAAAAGCCTGATGTTGGAACAAGCACTGTTTATTGAGGATAGGTCAACATAGAGAAATTCTAAGTCAATTTCAAACACAAATATAGATTTAATTACTAAATTTCCAAGTTGCAATGCGCAAATAGTCTTGCAACAGTAGCTCTGGACCATTTGGAGAAAAACTAAAAAATAAGAGGTTTTTGATGTGCAACTTGTAGAACAGAATTTGTGTACTTCTGATTTGTTTTATTTATTCTACAAATTAATATTAATTAATTTGATTAATTTACTAAACTGAGATTTTTCAACGATTTATACTGTGTCTACCAATCAATAATCTTTCCAATTCCAGGCTTTTACTGAAGAAATTCAGGCTACCCAGAGAGCATGTGTGTAAGTATTCCTTTTTTTTAATTAACATCTTTCCAAACCAGTCTTATTATTTAACTTTTATCTATTTTTTAAAGTCTATATATAGTCAATTCAAATCTAATTTTAATGAACTCTTTTTTTTAGGGCTTTCCATGTTCCATAAAAGATCTAAACTATATAAAAATATAATTTAAACTGAGACTCAGCTTCAGCTCAGCTGTGTAAAGTGTGTTGATGCTTCACATCTTGTCGTTGACACGTTTGTTAAAAATACTCCTGCTGCAGATGCATTTAAACCCGGATTGCCAGAACCTTCCAGATCAGAAGGTTGGAAGCGTCTGCCGGAAAGTGATTCAGGCCTAGGATGTGTGTCCGATCTGTCAGGAGGGGCTTCTGCAGAAAAAACAGCCGGTGTCGCACTGCAGGTTGGTTTGGGTCAGAACAGTTACTGCCGACCAGAACACGACCCCACTAATGTTTGTTCACCTCACCCCCTGCACATCCAGATGTGAAATACAGGAAACCTAAAGCTCAGAGTGTCGGATATAATATAAAATATGATATTCAGATCTCCTGATGCAGCCGTTTGAGCTTTTTCCTGATACTGTACATTTCCTGCACCCCTCTCCCTCACAGGTTCGGCTGTGGTAACTGCATCCACATCTCCTGCATGAAGGTGTGGGCCGACCACCAAAGGCTGGCAGACAGTAAGGAGATAGTGAAGTGCCCCATGTGTAGGGGAAACTTCAGCTCCCTGCAGCTGCTTCAGGAGCAAAGCAAGAATGCAGCCAAGCTCTTTACTGCAGCTGAAAGAGAGAATCTAGATAAACACCTGGGAGCGGTGTGCTTCAGCTGCAGAGGCTGCCCCATCACTGGAGCCTGTTTCAGGCAAGTCATATGCACAAACTACCATGAATGCTAAAAGAAAACCAACAGCAGTTTTAAAGACAAATAACAGACACCTGAACTAAAAAAGGAACCCAGATGGTTGAAGCATCTGTAACTGATGATGACAGCATTGTCCTGGATGCAGACAAAGTGACAGGTTTCAAAGTGTGGAGTGAAGTTTGTTCCATTATTGTTGCAAGCAAAGAACGGGTTTTGTAAATGGAAATTTAAAAAGACCCTATTTGTAAATTGAAATAAAAAAGAAGTTTGTAAATGGAAATTGGTAAAAAATAAAATCTAAAAAATGAAACTAGAAAAACGTATGGCAATGGAGTGCAGCTTTTCTGTTGTTTTAGAATTTTTTCCCAATTATTTCTATTCTTCAATTGTCTTTTTCCCCATTTTATTTTTAAAATTTTTTTTTAATAAAAATTTTTCAAAATAACATTTTTTCAAAAAGAAACTAAGTTTTTTCTAAAGATTTTATATTTTTAAACTAAATATTTGTAACTAATTTTACAGATGTTTCCATTTCAAATGTATTTTTTTCAAATTCAGTTGTACATATTGCACTATTTTCAAATGGTCTTTTACAGATAACATTCTCTTCACTTCAAGCCCAAAACAAATGCTAAAAAATGTACATTTAAAAAAAATTAAACAATAAAAAAATAAATTACCTTTGAGAAAACAGTAAAGTTACTGTTGAAACCTTTTTTTTTGACTCAAAATCTTTTCACATTTTAATTTCTGGATTGCAATTTTTTCAAATTTATATAACTTGCCATTGTTTGCAAAACAATTTTTATTGCATATAAAGATGCAGAATAAGGTAAGACGGTGCTCATCTCAATTATGTGGTGCAGAAACAGTCTTCTGTCAAACATTTTCCATCTAAGATAACCTGTAATCCATTTTAATGACTAAACAAATGCCTGGTTTTCTTCTTCTGAGCTGTAAAGTCCATACATTTTTAAAACTAAATAATAACCCCAAACACAACATTTGAGACAATAATTAGTTTCAATACTAATGATTCAAAGCAGAAAATTAAGGATTTGACCAAACTGGTTTTTAATGTGTAAATGGGTCCAAAGCTTTCCAAAGAAAATTTGAAAACAGTTAAAAATAATCAGAATTTCTTAAATACTACCAAACATAACATCTAACTGCTGACAAACCACTTTTTCTTTTCTTTGTTACTGTTACAGAACCTTAAAATGATGACTTGGTGCAAAACTGATTAAACATTTGAAACTGATGGATCGATTAAAGTGAGTTCGTCTTTGCAACACAACACTGACCCCTTCAGCTCCCCTCAGTATTCCCTTCATGGACCTCTGGGTGCACACAAATGTTATTATTACTGACCGATTGCATCCAATAATGGACAGTATACTATTACTGTATTTAATATTCAACTTTTCCTGAAATGTGGATGGATAGTCATGCACTTGATACAGTGAACATCAATGGACTGAGCACACAGCCTAGAGGGACCCCTTTAGATCATTACTTCTAATAGGATAATGCAATATGTAACAAACTAGTTTAATTAAAACAGCATAATCTAATCTCAATCCAGTAAAGCATCTTTGAAACAGATTACCTGGTGTCAAATCTGATAAATCTGAAGCAACTGTGTATTTTTGAAAAATATGTTGGACATCTGTGGCAATAAACAAGAAAAGCAGATCAGTTTTTTCTTTTTTTTACTACATTGGAAGAGATTGGAATATGTATATTGAAACAAAAGACCCACAGCTTTTAAAGGTACAGTGGAGGATTGTCGCAAATTTGTTAAAAGACTCTCCACTTTAGAAAAAAAAATTCACATGCTCAACCCTGTACCCACACCCGAGAGGGAACGCCTGTGGAACTTGTGCGAGAGCGTGCACAAGCCTATTTCTACTCGTACAACATCTGTTTAAAAGTTGCTGTTTGCATCGCTCAAACAAGCTCACTTTCCAAAAGAAGGTATTTCCATTATATCAGACCGGAAAGTGAAAATGGGGACGACCACATAGGATGGCCTTATGTAAACATATCACCAGATTGATTGACAATTAGGAGGACCACTTATTTTAATGATCCACCTGGAAAAAAAAAACATTTCCACCCTAACTTTAAGTAAAGTATGTAAAGGGAATGGTGTTTATGGAGGCACATCATAAACACCATTTATGCCGCAGCACTGTTCTCTATGTTTACACTCTGCTGGTATACGGAGTGAATTTTGCATATTATGCATATTATTTTGCATATTTTAATTTTAAACATTTAATTTTACTATTTTGCTTTTTCCCTTTTTATATTTTTCATAAATTTTTTTTACACAAATTTTTTTTAAACCTTTTTGGTTTCCGTCACAATTTGAAACTGTGTTTTACAGATCACATTCTCCTCACTTAAAGCCTAATGCAAATGGTCCTTCTTGACCAATAAAACTGTTTTTGTAAACTCCATGCAGACCAATAGAAACGTGTCTTCGCATTAAACTATAACGATTTGGGGAAAAAGTGAAAAAACATGAAAGTTACTCTCAAAAACTTTTCCTGATTCAAAGTAATCCAAGGTTTCTTTTCTGGATTGCATGTTTTTTATTTCCATTTATAAAAAGTGTTCTTTGTTTGCAACGTTAATGAAAGAAATTTTACTCCATACTGATGACATCTCTTTTCTACGGAAGAGGATTAGGGCCACTGAAAAAAAAAAAGTTAACTGATTTTTAAATTTTATTTCAGTTTAACATGGGGGGAAAAGTCAGAATTCTGACTTTAATCTCAGAATTTTGCCTTTTTCCTCCGAATTCTGACTTTAATCTCTGAATTCTGACTGAATTCTGACAATAAAAAAAGTCAGAATTCTAACTTTTTTTCTCAGAATTCTGACTTTAATCTCAGAATTCTGATTGAATTCTGACAATAAAAAAAGTCAGAATTCTGACTTTTTTCTCAGAATTCGGACTTTAATCTCAGAATTCTGACTTTTTTCTCAGAATTCTTACTTTTTTCTCAGAATTCTGACTTTAATCTCAGAATTCTGATTGAATTCTGACAATAAAAAAGTCAGAATTCTGACTTTTTCTCAGAATTCTTAGATTTAAGTCAGAATTCTGACTTTTTTCTCAGAATTCTGACTTTAATCTCAGAATTCTGACTTTTTTCTCAGAATTCTGAGATTAAAGTCAGAATTCTGACTGAATTCTGACAATAAAAAAGTCAGAATTCTGAGAAAAAAAGTCAGAATTCTGAGATTAAAGTCAGAATTCTGAGATCAAAGTCAGAATTCTGAGATTAAAGTCAGAATTCTGACTTTTTTCTCAGAATTCTTACTTTTTTCTCAGAATTCTGACTTTAATCTCAGAATTCTGATTGAATTCTGACAATAAAAAAGTCAGAATTCTGACTTTTTCTCAGAATTCTTAGATTTAAGTCAGAATTCTGACTTTTTTCTCAGAATTCTGACTTTAATCTCAGAATTCTGACTTTTTTCTCAGAATTCTGAGATTAAAGTCAGAATTCTGACTGAATTCTGACAATAAAAAAGTCAGAATTCTGAGAAAAAAAGTCAGAATTCTGAGATTAAAGTCAGAATTCTGACTTTTTTCCCATACTATACTGAAATAGGTTAACTTTTTTTTTCAGTGGCCCTAATCCTCCTCCGTACTTTCCAGATGCACCATCTGCAGTTTTTTGTATCTCTGCGAGAACTGCGTAAAGAATGGCTGCCACTCACAACATCCACTTGCCTCAATAACGGTAAAGCAAGCAGAGTAAATCTGTTTCAATTATCCACGACCAATGACGCTGCTGCAATCTAAAGAGTTTTTAACGAAACAATTTCAAATCTTCATTGAAAACAGACCAGAAAGGAAAAGTGGATTCTTGTGGATGCAGCCTCCTCTGAAAATCCCAAACCACAAGATGAAAGGTACATTTAGGTATCCTTAAATTTCTGCACCGATCATGTCACTAATACAAGTTTCTCCACTTCTCAGCACTGTTGCAGAGGCCTTTTCAGCTGAAATGTTGAAGCGACTGCCAGTAGTGAAAGTGAGGTCAGGCTCTCAGCTGCTGAATGAAGGGCTGCAGTGTCGGATCTGCCTGCAGGGGTTTATCCAGGGTCAAAAGGTCCGAACTCTGCCCTGTAAACACAAGGTATTGTTTGCAAGGTTCCCAAAAAATAAAAATTAAACAAATCTTTTATATAATGTTGTCAGTTTTTCCTCCACAGATTATTTCTTGTCAAAAAATATACTGGAAACTTAAAGTAATCTCGTACTAAACGGCAGGAACTGTGACAGAAATGATTGAGAAAGACTAAAAATGTGACATAAAATCCTGAAGAAAAGGGAAATCCGATCAGATCTAATTTTAGTTGCGTCAAAAAGTGTGAAATAAGCTGTACAAAAGGGCGAGTTAGAGTGTTATTTTCAAACATTTTGGGCATTTTTAAAGAGCATTTCCTCAAACAAGTAGCAAAGTGATTTGCCTTTGCAATCAGCAAGCAATACACACAAACCCTTTTTTTCTGTCTTTACCTTCATCAATATGCAGACGACATTCTAATATTCAAACTGTTACATTTATAGATGGAGGACGTATGATTTTTCAAACCTGGAACCCAGCTGTATTACCTCTAAATTTACCACCTAACCCCTTAGTCTTTTAAAAAGCTGCTGTTTAAGTTACAGTAAATTTAGCTCTCTGTCGGCACAGGGTGCAAAAATTATTGCAAGTATGATCAAGTCAATATCGCAGCCCCGATGGAGGGAGCTCAAAGTAGAGAGAATGTGGATAGCTTACATCGTTGATGAGCTTAGAGCAGAGACGATGCACTGCTTTGGTGCAAAGTTCAAGTGATGGCGTTCTGGATTTTACTGACTTGTTTCACAACTCTGCTAAGTTTGTCTTTGTTTTGTGGTCACTAACTTAAAGGCTAGCAGGAAGAGCCTTTGCTGTGATTTTTTTGTAAATACCTTCAACATGAGCATTGAAACGGAAGCAATTGTCTAAAGGCTTTTCCCAGTTCCTAAAACACGCAAAAGGTTCTCACTCTTGTCTGATATACCTTTCTTTTTATTTGTTTTTTTCTTTTGTCAAAAATAAAAAATCTGTTTTATTTATGTGGATCTTAAACACAAGATTCCAGTTATATGCGTTAACGTTTGAGTTCTGCACTGTGCAAGCTGAACATGTAAAAATCTGCCCTTAATTTGAGCAGGTTTGTTAAATGATTTACCAATTGAATTGTTATTTTTGTCCCAAATTAAGTTAGTTCAATATTATGCATTAGAAATAAAATAATTGAGTTGATTTTTTTCTTATTTTAAACATAAATCATCTTATTCTTTTGGTAAATCACAATACCTATTTGTTCAAAGCAAGGAACTATACATCTTTTAAAGAAAATTGACTTAGTTATATTAGATTTTTTGCAGTGTAAGATCATGAAATGTGAAAAGGTTTAAGTGTTTGAAATACTTCAGTGTAATGCTTGTTCTTTCTCCCCTTTTCAGTTTCACGTGAACTGTGTCGACCAGATCCTTCTGAGGTCGAACTCCTGTCCTTTGGATGGATTCATCATTTTCAGTGGGGGAAGAATCAAGAGAAACACGTCTTCTAAGTTCCTCTGCGCTAAGCAGAAGTAAAATGACTTTAAGGACCTGGTCATCCCTGGGATATCATTGCTGACTCAAAGTGCTAAACCCTCTCCTGCATGTGGAGCTCTTAAAGCGGATGTTCTAATGGATACCTCATCTTTTAGTGGTCTTGGACAGAAAGAGACAAGCGACGACATGGTTGCAAAGCAAACAAATGTGCATCTCAAAGACAAGGAAAAGGCTGCTATTAGAGAGAGAACATCAGCCGATATGGAGCTGAGGATGACTGGAGTTTCAATAAAAACCAAGCAATAATTATTATAAAGAACATTTATTAATTTAGTGCGCAAAAAATGCAATAACAGTAACACCAACATCATTACGAAGTTAAAACACAAGCGGTGTCATTTTGGGTAGAAAACTATGGAGGGAATTTTGATGCATTATTATTGCAAGCAAATAATACATCGTTAAATGGAAATCTGAGGGGGAAAATGCAATTCATAATGAAACTTGTGATCATTAAAACATGTATAAAAATTGCATTTCAAAGAATAAATATTAAAAAAATATATAAGACAGCATAGTAACTCTTAAAAACTTTCTTTTGATTAAGAATTTTTACAAAATTTAAGTTCTGGATCTCTTTTATTTTCTAGATTTCTATTCAAAAAACATGTCATTTGCTTGCAAAAATAATGGAACAAAATTCACTCCGTAGCACAAAAGCTGATGATGCTGGATGACTACAATACAAGAAGAAGAACATCAAACTTATTACAGATACATTCACCTTAATCATTCGATAGTCAGAATGGCAGTAGGTTTGTTGTACAGAACAAGAAAATCCGCATAAGTGTTCTCACTGAAAAGCAGGGTAAGGTGTTTTCAAATTGCGGGTTCATGAGTGTATTTTGTGGGGTTTTTTATAAGCTACAGCTCCTCTTAGAAAGTTCAAGCTTTTCGTAGCCTTCCCCTGAAAAAAGACAACCATGAAATAAGTCACATTAATACAACAACACATCTGTCAAGTGAACAGATCGGTCAATCGTCTCTCAGACGGAAGAAAACAAACACAAGATGATTAAATCACAGCCGTGTTTCACTGAAAATGGTATTTACATATAAAAGATAACACTTTACAATGTACAGAATCAAAGAGAAATCATTATTAAAAGCAAGTTTTAGTAGAACTAGAATGGAAGACTAACTGTGCCTAAGTCGGTTGGCCAGAAATATTCACTCATGGTTCATTTGAGTCAGAGTTGTTGACTTGAGCCGTTTGTTAAAAAAGAGCTAATGATAATGCGAAGGTATCCTGTATCTTAAATGCCTTTCTTTCTTTTAAAGAAAGGCATGAAAAAAAGAAAATAGTGGTTAGGAAGAAAAGAAAAAAAATATTGCAAAATGTATTTCTAAGTTACAATCTTGTTGCAAAGTAGACCGATATATGCGTTTGTTGTTCCAAACTTTCGGTTTGCCTTATAAATTTTAACTACATTATGAAATTAGCCTAAAATAGATTAACAATTTTGTCTAAAAGAGATTTTGTTGAAGGGATGCTCCGACATATTGATATTGCCGTTATGGCCAATACTTGATAAAACCAACCTCATATATCAGTTGTTTTCCTACCCTTTTGACACAATAAAAACCAACCACAGTGCTATTGCTTCTCTTTTTCAGTTAAAGGTGCATAGTCCTGTTATATGCCTTTACAAAAAAAAACCAAAAACACCTATGATCCAGGTAAAATAAGGTCATATATAATCTTGATAGTGTTTAGCTAGTCCTTTTGAGCCTAAATGGAATTCCAGCACCAGGTGCAATGAATTGAGGCGTGGGGCCATCTGCTGGTGGTACAAAGAACTATGAGAAAGCAACTTCTTAGCAGAGCGTGAGTGTCATGCAGTGTCTCACAGTAAACAGCTTGGTATGGTCGAAAACCAACAAATATTAATTAAATAAACAGATCTATAGCAACTCTATAGCCTCCAATCAGAATATCAGAGAGAAAGAAAAATTCTCCTTCCTAACAAACGAAAACACAGCATCAAGGTTAAACCCAGTCAATCTATATCATTCTATCCAATTAAAATAGATTCGATTGTAGAGACTAAAAATAACATTGCTATTGCTATCATCCATATTAATAAGGTTTTTAGTCGCACAACCATTCATTTAGGCTTAGCTTTTTAAATAGAAACAAAGGGCTTTATTTACTAACAAAGCAAAAACGAAGTGTAAGACACAAACAAAATAACAAATAGAACGGCAGCAGGACATGGTAAACTTTCGGAAAAGATTTGTAAGCAACAAGTGTATAAAATTCAAAAATGTCAAATAACGCGACTATGCACCTGTAAAAACTTACAGTCCTGAGCTGCATCACAGTCCCTGTCACTTGACCATAGTAATACCAAAGAACCAATCCCCTTAAGGAAAGAAAAATAAACAGATACAGTATAAACATTGGTTGTTAACATCCACCAAGATTTACTCATCAGAACTAAAGTGGTATTTTTAAAAAGGACCAATATTGGCCAATACTGATATATATGACGATATACATTCCAGCCCAATTTTGGTGCAATGAGTGTTGACATTGGTGAATATTTTATGTTTAGCATCTTTACCAGTTGAGTTCACACTAGGTTGCATAAAAAGCTGATTGGTCTTGATTACACAACATTTGGTCAGCATCAGGGAATATACAAAACCTAGAATTTAGTGATCATTTTTTAGCCTTTTCATTCCTTCCATGGACAATGAGATTTTGAATAAATCTACCCATGGCGGAAGTCCTTATGTTTTACTTTTTGGTGATACATCTAATGTGTGCTAAAGGTGCTCACTAATGTGCAGTGATTGATTTAAAGCACTGCTGCCCTGGTGTGTAAAGCTACTTTGTTTACCCAGATGTTTAACTGGCATTAGCACTGTTGGGTATCGCTTTACATCAACATACTTGCAAACTTGGCTCCGTGACTTTCTCCTTTGGTGGATTAAAGGCATAATAGCAAAGGGTGAGCTTTAACCATCTTTATATACCAGTCCATACAAAGCAAGGTTTTAAGATTTGATCCCAGATCTTATTTAAATCTAAACAATAACAGCTGAAATTGTCCAATGTTCTTTTTTTCTGGCAGAGGAAGGTGTTCATAATGATTTTAAGTATCCTTTGCTACATCTGACCAATAAGATGACAAATCTGATCAGACTGGACCTTTTCTACCAACCCAAAACCCTCAGTTATGACTTCCCATGTTGGTCAAAACACACTTCTTGTTGCTGCCCAGCTCCCATGATGTCCAGCTCCATAAAAAGAACCAGTAAAACCACAACCCTTAGCATCTATATTGCTCATGATAATAGCCCTTTTCTATTAGAACCAACTCCGCCCGTTTTAATTTTGCTTTTTCTCTGAAAAATATTTCCTTTTTAAAAGCAACCTTTTACCCATACAAGTTAGTTGATGAAAATGTGATGTAATAAGACTGCTGGTCACCAGTTGGCTAAGGAATGGAGTCAGCAGTGGCAAGTTTATATCACAGAAGGATTGCAATACGCTGGGTTTAGTTTAACCAGCATTAGGTCAGCATTAGTTAGCGTTAGCTTAGCCTCATGCTTTATCCTATGCATATCCTTCAGTTTCATTGCTTTACTCTCTCTCCTGTACTTATCCAGTCTTTTTCTCTTATCTTTTCTGGATATCTTCTTTTACTATGACTCTGACAAAGCCATAACTAGTCATTGGGTCCTCCATTGTTGTATTGTGTGTTTTTGGTCACCTTTCTACAGCAACCCCACTGACACTGTTGTGGTACCGCCCATGGAGAGTAAACACAAACCCAAACAAGGCAAATAAAGTTAGTACCAAAAGAAAAGGGCCATAAGAACTTTGACTTAACTTAATTGGCAAGCAAAGGCTCAATTAACATTAGTGTGCCAACTTCAACCCTACATTCGATAACAGTTCATTCAAAGCATGCACAAATATGGGAAAGAAAATCAAGATCCTGTATCGGTGGAAAAAAAAGAAAAAAAAACTTTTTTACAAATATTAAAGCATATAAAACCATTAAAGTGAATCCCCTGAATACATTTCTAAAATCAGAAACAAACAAATATTGGCTCTTTCACTACTCTCTAACTGGCATAGAAATCCCAGAGTTGGAATGGTTACAATTGGCAGCACAAACATGAGTTTCCTGGCTAAACCAGAGAATAAAATAAAACAATCAATCACAGAGTCCTCTAAAAGCTATTCCGATCTCTTTTTATCTCAGTCTATTTGTCTCGCTCATAAAAGGAGACTTTCATTTTCATGCAAAGAAAAAGTAACTCTTGTCCTAAAATCTTGAATATTGTGAACATTATGTGGCAGCTGTGTGGTCTTTCTCCAGCTCAGTGCAGAAGTCCTTCTGTTTTGAGGCAGTGTGTTCAAATTCTGGTGAAAGCGCTGAGAATAAGGAAAGCTACTTGTTCAATTTACAGCAGGCATTTATGGTGAGGGTAGGTGCACTTGTCCATCCTGCCGATTGATCGGATTCTCAATAAATACAAGAAAACAAATTACATTTCATGATTACAGGTTGTAAGAAGGCACCCTCTGTAATGCAAACACTAGGAACTGTTACATATCAGCTTTGAAGAATCTCGCTGGTGATCTTCAGATTTGAGGGAACAAGGTGCAGAAACTTCTTAAACAGCATCTGCATCAGGATTCAGTGTAATACACTGTAGATGCTGATGTGCATCTTCAGTTAGCTTAAGCTTTCTTTGGCAAAGTTGTACAATCACGTGACTCAACAACAACGATGCCTAAGTAAACACAAATTTGAGGAGCTCAGTCCAGTCACTCAACAATACGTCTAAAATAAATGAGCTCTAACTTCTCTTGGTCAAAGGTCTTCCCTCCCGGACATGCTTTGCACTCCTCTTGTCTGCCTTCCCTCTTTCTCTGACCTTCCGAAGACGCCGAGGTGGCGGCGTACCTCTCGACTCACTGTCCTCTTGTGCGCTGGATGTATCCATCCCGTCTCGCTCTTCGGGAATATTGGGAATAGCCCCACTGCTTCCATCGAGAATGTTCCTTAGGGAAGGGTCCTCTGGTGTACAAGTGGCAGTGGTTCCGCTCTCGCTGCTGCTCAGGTCCTGCTCCTCCCCGTACCGGCCTCCTCTGCCGTGATGTGGCAGGGAGGAGGCCCTCATCGATGGCCTTTCACGTTCCACGTCACGGATGTTCTGCTGGGGCTCGTTCATGTCTACGCCAGAGTCCAGGCTGGTGTCGTTGCTACTTGGCGGCCTGTGCCGGCTCTGGAGCTCGATGATGGAGTGGCGAACCTGGGCAGCCGGTTTTCCATCCAGAGAAACAAACCAAGCCCTGGGGTGAGCTGATGAGGACTTCCCACGAGTCAACTCCAGCAAGGTGCGCTCAGAAATCCCTTGTAGCTCACTGCTATGGCCGCTACTAAAGGACTCCATACCAGCTGCTTCATTGAGAGTCCCTGGAACAGATACAGAGGACTCTAAGAGGTTAGAGTAGCGTCCCCAGACACTAGCGTTAGGACCTTGTCCGGGTGGGGGAGTCTCCAGAGGCTGAGGTTCATCTTGATTGCTCTGCTGTGGACTGCTCCCACTCTGAGAGTGGACTTTAGGTAGCGTCTGGGTGTAGTTGTCTTTACTTGCAGGTTCAGAATGAGCATCATACTCAGCTCCATTCCTGGGGAAAGTGGCAGACTTGCAGCCTGGTAGCTGCTGCTCCTGAGCACCAAACAGCTCCGGAGCCTGAATAATTGCCAACGGCTGGTTGTAGATGTGAACCAGCTTATCTTGAAAGAAGCTGTCGGAGTTTAAATTGGCCCGATTTTGATCTGCCTTCTCTCGTATCCGAGCCACTTCCTCGCTGTTAATGTAGTGTGGCGGAGGCTGAGATCCCTTCATCCGATCTGAAGCGATATTATCGTAAAGAGGAGCTGCAGCCAGACTCCCTGGATCCTCCACATAGATGTTATAGTTGGCTTTGTGTCTTGGTGTGGATGGTTCACACTGGACACTGCAAGAGGTGAGGCTGTTGTCACCAGATCGGAGGAGCAAACCTTCCTCCATGTGGGTGGAGGTTGTTTGGTCTTTCTTTACCACGGTGAGTTTTGAAAAGCGGGCCCTTCTCCTCCTTTTGGGTTCTCGACTGGAACTGCTGGATGTGGAAAAGCAAAACCTTATCAATTTGGAAATGTGGATGCTCAGCAAACCTTTTATGCCTTAAATCAATATTTACAACTGGTAAGGTGAATGTTCTTTTTCTTACCCGCAGTGACATAGAAGCAAGGACAGGAATCCAATTACTATGGCAAGAGTTCCTCCCAGTATTCCCACCAAAAGATAGGTGTGGTAAGAGAGGAAATCCATAGAGCTTGCATGTCCAAAATAATCTGAAAGGTAAAAAAATTTTGACATGCATAAGTGCAAGATCCTGTATTAAAAGTACTGTGAAATTTCTAAACACTAAGGACCTGTAGAATAAGGCATTTACTTAAATGAAGGCCTGTCTGACAACATGAAGTAGGCTAAAAGATTCAAAATGCAGGACATTGTATTCCAATCTGTAGACAAGCTACAAGAGGTTAGGTACCTCAGAGGGATCCACATATAAAGAAAACATGAAACAATGATGGACCTTTGAAGGAGCGGACAACCTATTGATGAACCATCCAGGAGGTCAAGAAGGACCCAATAACAGCATTTAAAGTGCTTCAGGTCTCACTTGCCTCAGTTGAGGACCCAAAACTAAAAGGAAAGCATGACACATAAAGGCCTGACTCATGTTTTCATTAGAAATAACATAAATTGGGTTGAACATGATACCTACAGTCAAACACAATGGCAGTAGCATAATAGTGTGGAGCAGATGTGCTGTTTCACAAAATGGTTTTCTTCCTGTGGTTTAAAGTTCTCGAGTTTAAAATCCTTTAATAATATCAGTCTGCCAGTTTGAGACCTTGAAACTGAAGTGTACAGTAGGACAGGGATCAAGCAAGGTTATATCACCAAGTTCCATCTCAGAAACATCCAAATCCTAAACCTTCATGTTTTCAGTAAGTACATGGTGTACCCGCACTTGCCCAATCTTGTTCTGTATTACTTGCCAGTTTGTTAATGTCAATGTTAAACATTTAAAGCAGGGCCAAAAACATGTTGTCCGACTCTGATTGTGCAATTTCTCATACTAGAAAGATGAGAGAGGTCTGTAATTTTCCTCTTACACTTCAACTATGATAGACAGAATTCAGAAAAAAAATACAGGAAATCTCATTATAGGATTTAGGAAATTGTATTTGTAAATCATAAAACATGTATCCTAAGTCTACCTTTAGAATCCAACTCAACCACATCCAAGACGTAAGAGCTAGACCTAAGAGCTACTGTAGACCTAAGAGCTGACCAAAAAATAAGAAAATAGCAGACCTGCACAAGGCTTGGAAGAATGAATCTACACTGTGAAGAAATCAACTACAGGGCAGTTCTAAGAAAATGGTAAACATAGAAGACCATTGATAATCTCCCTCAATCTGGGGCCCCAGCAAAGATCTGGAAATGATCATGCGAACAGTTAGCAAAACTTCCAGAAGTACATAAAGGGATGTGCACCTAGGTAATAAAGGCTACAATCAGTAACACACCATGTCCAGAGTGGCCCATATTGGGCAGTGCCACTCGTGTCCCCCTGCTTAAACCAGTACATGTCTAGATTACCTGCAGAACTGAAGGGAGAGTCAAACTGGGTCCTTTTTAAACATAAACTTAAAGACTTTTTATTGAGAGGTCAGTCATGTGAACATTAATAATCTAACTGACCTGATTTTATTTCTGTGATGTTTTAATGTGTAATTTGCTCTGTTGTTCTTGTGTACAGTCACTGTGTTTTGTGTAAAAATCCTAACTGGGGACAGACATTGAGAATTAGCCTTAGCTAAAATGTTGTAGTGTGTGACATGATGCATGAAACATACTTGTCCCTATCAAATAAACGAATACATAAATACATACATAGATCCGTGTGAAATTTTACAGAGAGCGTTCAGATGATCGACAAGAGGATTTGATTGGAGGAAATCAAATTACAGCCTTGACCTACCACCTCCAGAACTTTGAACTCAAATAATTGTGTTTGGACGAAGAGAAATGTTGAGTTGCAACCCAAGTTGGCACTAACGCTTAAAAGAATTGGCTCATTCAGCCTCTTTTTTTCCCCTTTATTTCTTGGCTGGAATCTAAGAATTGTAACACTGTTTAGAAGACATTTCTTACCACTATCATGAAGCTACTAGGATTTGGCAATGCCTGAGCTCAGTTTCACAACGTCAACCTAGTAATGTAAAGTACTTTCCTTTTCAATGTTTTTATAGTATAATTTAACCTTTTATTTAGATAATCTAGACATTTTGTACATTCATTATTTTATTTTGATGGAGAAGTTGTAGCCACCACCATTAGATCCATTTTCCCAAATGAAAATAATCCTGCAAAGAAGAGTGATGGAAAAAAACTCATTCCCAGTTATGACAAATGTGTGATGGCAGCTGTTGTTGCCAACAGGGGGCGAGCTGGGTGTTAAAACTTCTTTTCACTGCATCACGTGATATGGACAAGGTACCTTTTGCCGAAGGATGGGGGGCAGCAATCCAGTAGCCCAGATGAGATGCTGTGTACTTCCAAACCAGCTCATTACCAACTGATTCAACTATCCCCAGACCATGATTCTCCCAGGCACCTATAGAAAGCATTAGTCCATGTAGTCAAGCTAATGCCATTAATGTATGTGATATACCTAAGGAGTCTTATGCCTACCTGTTTTCATGTTGAAGGCCCAGGCGGGTACTGTATTCGAGGCTCTGAGGTGGCTGTTGTGTCCCAGCGGCAGGCTGATTTGGATGGGCCCTCGAACCTCAAGCTCCTCACCACCAGAGTACAACTGAACGCTAATGGCCGCCAATGCCTTTAGCTCAATGCTTCTAAGCACTGAAAAGATTTCTCGAGAAAATAAGCTTATAAAATTCAGACAAGGCTTAGTGAGCCCCAATAAAAAAATGTACCTGATTTACTGCTGACGATGCCCGGGGTGCAATTGGCGCAATCCTTCGCCAGATGGTGCTGCGGCACAGTCAAGTACGCCATCAATGAAGAGATGTTGCTTTTATCTGGAACGCTGAGGAGGTTCTTGGGGAACTTGATCCTCGGTTGGGAGGTACTGTCTGTGTAAATATGCAAGATAATAATCATTAAGAATAAGTGTCCTTCTGTAGCCGCTCTGCCTGATTTGAAGGTGAACCTACCGGGTAACTTCCTGGTGATAAGAACAGAGTCTTCAAATAGCCAGATGTTTCCCTGATTATGAGGGAGCAGCAGCAAAGTTACAGCGGAGAAAACTGCAAAATAAAAAAAAAAGAAATAAAAAAAGAGCTCAAATTTATCCTGCTTCATGGCACATTTTGTTGGTCTTTTTTGCATGAAATCCAAATTAAACAAGTTTCAGTTTAAATGTTAGAAAATCGGAAAACGAGAAAAAGATATGGCCAGGCTCGGACTGGTAATCTGTAATAAAGGCATATACCCCGTGGGCTGGTCTTAATTTCAGCGTGCGAGGACCCCCCAATCATACCGGCCCCAACACTTACTCTACCTGAATGAAGCATGCAGTATATATAGCCCTTCCTTGTCATGCACATCCTTGTGACGGTTGGCATATGGTGTAATTTTCTATTTCTTCATACTGTAAAATCCTTGCAACAAACTGAATTATAATAAAACTAAAATGCTTTCTTAAACCAAACAATGATGTTCCTCTTATATTTTGCAATTCATGTTGCAGTGCATGATGTGGTTTTGCATCTAAAGGCTAACGTTTCCCGTCTTCAGGATGGCTAAATGGGTAAAAAATGTTTTTCTTTAGAATTATGGCCTAAGAGATCAGTAGACTTTGGTTCAAATTGGGCCAGATTTCACATATCCAGGCAGTTTATGAAAATGTATTGGGCTGGAGAACGTTGGTCAGTGACATCAGGCAACCCTGCTGAAGTCACTGTAGCAGCCATGCTAATAACCAAATGCAGTAAAACCGCATTATAGAAGTCTCGGTGATGGTTGTCGTGTGATGCTTGAAGATAGATCGGTTAATCCACAATGTCTTTCACATTTGAGACACACATGTTTGCCTGGGGGGGGGGTCCATAAGTCCGAGCCTGGATATGGCTAAATACGCAAGGCACTGTGGAGATTTGAGAAAACACAACAAACAAAGAGCCAAAGGGTATTTGACAAGGTGTTTTTCTGCAAATAACCACTAGATGGCATTGTGTCCTGCTAGGACTACTCTGTGTGCCTCAGCTGCTCAGAAGGGAGGTGTCTGTAAAAATAAGACCCATAAAACACCTGCTCCATTTAAACCTCCACCTCCCTGCTGCTTTTTTGCCAAATTCATACCCGCTTGGGGACAGGGTACAATAGCGAGAGGCCCCCTTTGTCACAGCTGCGCATCAGGGGCCCCCATCCCTGGCCCTCCCTTTCCTGAACAGGACAAAGATGGTCCGGTAACCATGGGTTCCTGCTGACTTTTTATGTGAATAATGATGTTTAAGTAAACCTAAAATCATCCACTGCTTCTTTTGCTCACTTGGTCTCTTGGTGGTGCTCCAAGGCAGTGGGGTGGGTACATATCCCTCCTTAACGCCCAGTAGAGTCAAACTAACACCCGGGTTGTACGGTACCCAGAGCAGGACTTCCCCATCTTCGCCTGTCTGGGCTGAACTCTTGAAGGTGTGGTTCAAGTAGACGTCTACTGAGGCCCCTGCCAATGGCCGGCGGGTCACCAGGTCTCTCACCAGCACCTTTAGGGAAAACTGGGTCTCTGAGGAGAAAGCAAAGGAGGTGGAATAGAGGGGGGGATGAGATCAGAGCTGCACGTGTCTACGTGAAAATGTGATGAGGCAAGCACAGCTGAGCCACTGGGAGGATGGAAAATTACACCAAAACAAGATGTGAGCATCACTGAAAAAAATAATGCAACCATTTTTATGTTAGCAGGGTAGGACATAAAAAAAATAGTGTTAAAGTATAAATATGATTAACTGAATGCAAAATGCATTATTTTTTTCAGTGCAGAATGTCCAGGAGCTTCAAGGTTCCCATTAATGCTTAGATGTTTATAATAAAGGAATTGATTGGATTCTTATTTTATTTATAAATGCAAACAACAGAACTAATCATCAACAACAATAAGACCGATTTGTTTGTAAATATCTTCAGAAATGTTTGTTTGTTTACCTGTAGTCAGAGCTGAGGTGTCTCCCTCAGTGGCAGGGTGGCCATTGTCCCCGTAGGAAGCGGGGGATGAGGACAGGCCTCCGCCCTCCTCCTCCGCTCTCACCAGCCCATCCAGTCTGCAGATCAGCAGCGAGGACGGCAGGAAAAGGAGCAGCATCGGCGGCAGGTAGCGATCGGCAGCGGGCATGATGGAAGGGCGGCGGGGATCAAAGACATAACGAGGCAGGCGCGAGAGAGGAGCGCGAGGAGTGTTCTGTGGTGTTTGTGTGCGTCACGCGGGCCTCGAGGATGAGGGAGGAGGAGGGAGAAGCGCGTGAAGAAAGGATGAGCTGGTGCTGAGGCTGGGCGTGTGTTCAAAGATCGACTGTGAACAACAGGATGCCTCACTCACTGATTTATATATATTAATTCGGCTTTGAAATTTATTTAAGCAGACGCAAAACTACGGAATTTGTTTCTTAAACGACTAAACGGGTAGAAAAGCTCAGACATTTTCATCAATTTGAAATTATATCTGAATAAATTTGGCATTATATAAATTTAGATAAAATATCCTAAAATGCATCAAAGACAGAATATCTGATTTCCCATATACCTTATTCTTTTTTTCCCTCCTTTTCATTTTTAAAGCTTTTATTTTTTTCTCCAGTTGATTCCATTAGTAAAAGAGACAAATCTAAGGTCATAATAATATTATGAGAAAAAAATAACCATTTTTAAAGCCAATTATGGGGCAAAAAAGTGGTTTTATTGTTTTTTTTCTCAGTATATTAAAAATTTCCTACGGTTTTATTCATGTAAACTTAATATTATTAGATAACTTAATATTATTATTAGATTTTTTTTTGTAATATTGCATCTGTATCCTCGTAATTTTACGTCTAGCCCTAATAATCTGATTTGTTTTAATATTAATATTTATTTTCATACTTCTAGGCTAATATTAAATCTCTAAGTAGGCCTATGTCTCTAATACTCCGTCCAAATATGGGTATGTATTTTTCTTCCTTGATTGTTTTTTTTTTTTTTTTTTCTCTAGTTTTAAACCTGACACCCCGTTTTTTCCTCTGTGGGTCCCGTGAATAAATGCAGGGTTTAAATTATTAAATATAATTGACTGGTATCACCCTGCTAGTGCAACATTCTGCAGCTTAATAGAAAAATTGTAACAGACTAAGTTTGATGGTTTTCATACATACTAAAAAAATAAAATAAAAAAGAATTAGTGTGAGTGGTCTTTTACTACATAACATCTTTGATAATATAGAGGTCGCTTTTACATCATTGATCTTCTTTCTAAAAAAAAACAAAAAAACAAAAAAAACAAACAACAACAAAAAAATAATAAAACTGACAATCATTAGAGACATTAAAGTAAATAGCTTATTTTTATACACTGCAAATAAAAACTATATCTAAATAAAAATGTCTTGAAATAAATTTACTTGCACTTAATTTGAGTAATTTAAATATTCTGCCAATGGAATAAGATTTCTGCTCATAAAACAGCAAAACAAACACATTCTGGCCTTGTGTAATTACTATATCTTAGGGGAAAATATGGTTTATAATGAGGGGAAATACACTTTTTCCAATAACTTTTAGATCATTTCTTGTGGCAAACACTTTAAACAACTCTATTGTACTAAAGTTGTATTTCTACACTTGTATATTAAAAAAAAAAAGAAGTAATAAATGTCATAAACACTCCACATTATTGGACTTCATCTCCCTTACAAATCCTTCCTCTTTTGTTTTTCAATCTTCCCCCTTTTTCTTGAACTTGATGGATCAAATGTCTATGCATTAACGAGAACCCATGAGTTTAGTTTAAATCTATAATAAAGCAGCTTAGACTTCTGATTGTCTTTCATCATTATCACGGTCTTCAAATTTGAGCCTTATTATAAACCTTAAAGCGGAGATATCATGTAATGAAGCTTGTTGTCCCATACACATTATACATGTTCAACTTTATTCCAAACATCCCATCTATAATCATAAATAGTCATGTCTAAATACTGCAAAGCTTTAATGGGTTTGAATAGATGTAGTTCCAACTCCAGTCCACTTTGTGGCAGTATTTCACCCACCAATAAGATGTCTCAACATGACCCTGTGATCTGAGAGTCTTCTCCTTTCAATATTGAACTCACCATTCCGTGCACTAATTGAGTTGTTTTAATTCATCACAATTATATAATTAACTACTAGTTTAAATGAAAGTAGGAGTGAAAACATATCTGAAGATTCTCAGTCAATGCAGGTCATAATCAAGCTTGAAAGGTTCAGTTCAGGCAACTGAACGTTAAGTTTTCTAGAAGATGTTTTGCCTCTCATCCAAGAGCCTTCATCAGTTCAACAAAGGAAGGGAAGCAGAAAGGATGCAAGAAAAAGGCAATATAGTCATAAAAAAAGTTTGTAGGGAGCATTGATATTAACGTATTGCAGAAATATAGTCAGACGGTTTGCCACTTTGTTTTAATGAAATGGACATGAACTGTGATTTAGCTTTTTTATATATATATATATATATATATATATATATATATATATTTTTTTTTTTTTTTCTTTAGTGTAATCCAATATGTGACCTTCCAAGCACAGTAAAAACTTCCACTGTTTAGTCCCTTAGCATGGCTAAATGATCACTGAAGAAGCTTAAATTCACAAACCAAACCACAATTATTATAATATTAAGTGGACGTAAAATAATCAAATGAAAGATATTTTAATCTAATGAACCATTAACAGACAATCTGAGTCAATTATTTGATTAAGTTTATAACTTTAGCTGATGGAACAGCTGCACAATCAGTTCTAAAGTGAATTAACATGGAAGGAATATATTATTAAAAGCAGCTCCTTTACTATCCAACGTTTAAACTATTTTTATCCCGTGCAATTGTGCCTTTTTAAATTGCCTTAAATCTGCAAATGTGTTGACCGTTTATGATCACTCAAGCCAAAGTATGCAGCACTAAAGTGATTTCACCCATCATGCTTTTTACAAAATTACCTATTGTCTGGTTTTATTGCATGCTTAAGCCTTTTTAGTCAACCAGCTGGTTTGATGGTGGATTTTAGGTTAAACACATTAAAAAAATCAAATATATAATTGAACTGGGTAAAAAAAAAAAAAAAAAAATCTTAAAATGCAATGTCTAAAAAACAGCATATTTTAATTAGACTATTGCTTTCATATTAAAAACAGAACAAAATAAAAAAACATTCATCTGGGTTAGGTCTCAATGGCTTAAGTCAATCTTGCAAATACAGTAATTCGTTTTTAACCATTTACAACTCTCACCACTAAGTGGCCTTGGATACAATTTCCAGAAGTTTATGAATAAACAGGGAAGAAAGTTATCAAATATATCAAGTTTATTAAGTTTTAGAAAAATGTTTACAGTACACAGTAACACAAAAAGTGAAAAAATGTGAAATATGTGCCCTTTTAACATTGATTAAAAAACAAACAAAAACAATGTTGAGCAGAACCTGGAAGTGCTACATAAAAAAAAAAAAAGTGTACAACTATTAGATATATATAAAAAAAAAAAAAAGCTCAATCGCTGTGTTTTTTATTCCAAATCCACCAGATTGAGTTTCAGAGTGCAAACATCGGTAAACAAAATCATTTGTGAGATTTTCTCAAAGTGCAAAAAGATCAGGATCTCGAAGTGTTAATATGATCAAGGTTTGGTGACGACATGGTGAAAATACATCCGCAAACACATTCTGATAAATCAGTTTTGGTCAAATTACAGTTTAAATATTGCATCAGTTAACAAAGAGATATAAGCACAGATAGTTAGATGTGGACACAAATACATAATAATAATAATAAATCTAAAAGTTTGACCAAATGTGTTCAAACCAACACATTAGCAGCATTACTGGTAACCATTACCATGGCAACCGCACCAGATTAGTCAAATTAAAAATAAATACTTGAATAAAAACAGTTTTAGAGGTGTATTTAATAACCACTGGCAGCCCTCTTTGCTGGTTAGTATGAAATTTAACTCACAGCCAGCAGTTTATTGCACAAGTAGCAACAGGGAACGGCTCACTTTTGGCACAACCGAACACAAAAAAATTACCCGCCTTTCTCCGAAAGAAATTCTGCATAGAATCTAGAAGATCGTTCACATGAAGAGAGCATCCGACTATTCTATGCAGGATCTCAGATTTGATGTCCATCCGACCACTTTTTGATTTCAACAAACGGAACTTTATAAAATAAAGAAAAGAGGCGGAACCAGATGTTGAGGTTCAACGCGTCCGTCGCCCCCCCCCCAGCCAGCTGGGTTTTTAATGGACATCAGTAGCAGCCGTCTCTCCAGGCGCCGTCACGGAGGGCGCTAAAGGTGGACAAGCTCTTTGGAGGCGTCAATAAACTAAAGAGGGAAAAATGTAACAAAATGAATGTTTAACTGTACAAGTAGGGGAAATGCTTCACAATTATGGTGAGCATCTCAAAAATCAAGAGAATCTTTACAGTGAAAATTACTAAAAAACTAAACAGCTGAGAATTGCATGAATATATATATATTTTTCATACGATTCATGATTGGTATAAAACTATAATAAATAGCATTCACACTAAATAACCATGTCGGATTTTAATCTACAAGCTAGGTTACAATGCATGCAAACTAGCAAACAGTAACCTTTAGCTGTTTAAAACAACCATTCATCACTAATAATGATTCTATTATAATCTTTAATTTTAGAATGGTTGTAAAGGAAGGAAATATAAATCTATATAATAGTTGCAAAAAAAAAACTATAGAAAACTGCAGGTGGCATAGCGGTTCGCATGCACACCAATGTAGGGAGACCTTAGTCCTCGACGCGGAAAACGAGCCACTAGTGCCGTAACAACTCCAAAAAAAGAGAAAAAAAACGAAAGAAAATATAGCGTACACACTAGCATTGGATTGTAGCAAAAATTGGCACAGGAAGTTATAAAAAAAAGCATTTTAGAAAGTTTATTGCTTCTAAAGCCTATTTGTAATAAAACAGTGTTAATACTATGAAATTTAAGAGAAAAATGTAAAAGTTTAAAACTGAATCTCCACTTTGTCCAGTTTAGATGTAAGCTCATATTTAAATACATACAGCTAGCAGCTAGAAATATAAAATAAACTTAAAGAATATAAGTTCCTGCAGAGATTGGGCAATTTTATCAAGGGTGAAAACATCTTAAGTAATTTAAGTAATTTTCCTTCAAATGCGTCCACATTTAAAGGGAAAAATGGTCTTCTTCAATGATGGACTTGTTAGAGAGAAAAACATCAAGCAAAAATTTACGAACTTTTTTGAAAAAAGAAA